AATAAAAATATATTATTCTTACCTCTTACTCTCACTTAAACCAATGGTAAAAAAGCTCCGTTTTAAACATATCTTCTGTTTCTATTTATTTCATTAAGTTTAAAGCCTGGTTCTCAAAATTTATAAAGTAATATATCTAACCAAAAGCTTAGTTAATATATATATATATTGGTAAGAAAATTATGTTACTATAAATACGTAAAACCCTGTAAAAAATTTTTAAGCTGATATACATAATAGGAAACAAAAAACAAATATGGCTACATAATTTTGCATTTAACTTGGTAATATTTATATGGAAGTTATTTAATTAACAAATTTACCCTGCGTTTAAATTCTGTTTACGTTATCATGATGCCAAGTGTTGTGGTTACCCTTAAGAATGATTAAACTGAGTACACTGTATTACTATTACAAATTATTTTCGCAAATTAAAACATGAAAATAAGATATTTTTAAATAGATATGCCAAGTACCCTCAATACGCCATTGTTACCGGTGTTATTGCAGCGACGCTAACCTCAGGATTAATTATAGGAATCAGGTTAAATTTTCGTGTTATATTTAGTAAGCTTATACCTATCTCACCTTATCTTTTACAACTCATATGAGCTTTTTAAATTTTAATTTTACGTTTTTCCTGATATTAGGGAGGTTTATTATGGTCCATGGACAAAAAGTAATCAATTTCCGTATCAAGAGGTTGAACCAGGTAATTTATTAATTTTATATATGGATAGGTCCGAGTGCTCTATGAAGTGATCATAAATTCGATAGTTATAAGAATATTTTTTATAAGTCCACAAATGAAAATTTTAAAAAATTTATGGTGAATGAAATATTACATTGTAGAAGAATGCACCAAACTAGTTGATGGAAAGAAACGCTTCGGAAGTTTAAAAACCGTAGAACCCCCAAAAGAATTTAATAAATAAATTTATAGTATATAATTTTTTTAAACGCCGCCAATGAACTAAAAAAAACTATAAAAAAGGTACTTTATTAACTTCTCTAATTAACAATTATATAGCTTAAAGATAATTAATAAACATGTATATATAATTATAACGTTGCAAGTTGACTAGTTAGAGTAAAAGCTTTTCAATTAACAGTAGAAGCAAATTATTATAATCCAATTGAATGTTACTTTTGCACTATACTCTTTAGTCTATGTAAAATATTAAAGCTTTAGATATTGCAAAAAATAGTACAAAGAAAACAAAAAAATTTAACAAAAAATTATTTGCTCCGATCAAATCTTTATAAGTATAAGTCCCCCCTCACAGCACGGAAGATGGTCAACTGTAATGGACGTTAGGAGAACAAAATCATAATTTAAAATTACTTATTGATAAGTATTCTGTCGAAACTTGTTTAGTATTCTTTATTAATTAATTAAATATAGGCATTTTTCGTTCCTCTTACTATCTTCTTTTGCTTTCCTTGCGTGTGCTAAGGGCCTTAGATATAAGGCTGATTGGTTTTGATATCTTACTAAGAGTGAAGTTGTTTGAGTTTAGAGGGCTACTTCTAAAGGCGTGCACGACATTTAAGACACCATTTAAAACACGATAAAAAAAACAAATAGAAAAACTAAAATAAAAGTATATTACAAAAAACATATTGTATTATACATTAAATATAAAGTACACAACCATAAAACAAACAAAACAAACAAAAATTACAACCCCTCTAAATTTTCACTGGAAAATGGTCCGTGATTAATCCAATCAGAATTCAGAGAAGTAACCAATAAAAATACAAGAAAAGAGATATAACTTAACACAAAAAATTTAATTTGACCTCCCTTATTAATTGGTCACAACTAAACAGTAAAATTTTATCTGGTTTATTGTAGATATGGAAGCGTATTCCGACCTTCTGTAAAGGGTATAAATAAAGACCGAAACTGGTCGATAAAGGCATCTATGATTTTAATATACCTCATTTATACATTTCTTTATACATAAATGTTGATAAGGATCTAGCACAAGTGTTGCTTTTTTTTGTAAATTAATTATAGAGTTTAGTCTCGTGAGTGAAAGATTAAAGAGTTTGTTTTATTCTATTTTAATTGGAATGAAGAATTTTTTAACTCTCTTTAAGGTGCTTTAAGTTTTAAGCTTTTCCCCTTCATTGTTTTGTTCAAATTAATTTACTTTTACTTTTACCCGCGTGAATATATGCACTAGACCAGCTACTGACTAGCTTTTGTTTCATCTACTCTCTTTAAGACCTTTTCCCTCTATTCTGTTCTAATCTTGTCAATTTTTTTTAACTTGTAAATTATCTGTTATTGACACTTTTCTTATGGTTATACAATGTTCTTTCATCTTCATAATAGTAACAAACCTTTGTTTGGTTTTAGCACTGAGGTTATAGCGAAGTAATATCTAGCAAGAAAAAGATGAATTGTGAGTGCACTATTAAGATAGTAATTATATAGATATACGCAGTATATAACATAATACCTTTGTTATACTATAATTTATAGCCCTCTCCAACAAAGTTAATAATGCTTTTTTAAAAGGCTATGACGAAGCCCCCCATAAAAAAACCATGACTAACTTAACTGAGTAAAACGGCAACTGCAGATTCAGGAAACTAAAAAGTGCAGACAACTGAAGAATTAGCTTTTTTATTTTTTAATATTTTATTTTTTCACGAGATACTACAGTGAAGTTTAGGCATTAAAAATTAGAGTTATTATAACTGTTGCCACTTAATACTATTTTAAATCTTGTATAATTTCAAGGTAGTTCCTGGGTTATTGTAAAAGTACTTCTCAAAGTTCTTATTTAATCTATTAAAAGCGCTTTATACGATTATTTGCCGTTTTCACTGTACACCCGTTTCAAGCATTAAGAGTTTCATTTTCAGCCAAATCTGCGTCATGAAAAACTAGGTTTAAGTAGGTAATACTTATATTCAGCAGGTGGGCAACTAATATATTTTAATAATAACTAGAACCACCATTAAATTTAAGATTGGTGCATTACATTTTATTTTCAAAATAATATTGACTTTTGATCTATATTCCCATATGGTATAAAGGAAGGGTACTTCAAGCAAGAAAGTTTTCGATGAGGCTAATATTATGAAGAACTTAGGGCACGTTGCATGCGCTTCTGTACATGCAGCCTACCCGACTTCCCACCGCGCCTTAAGTGGACGCTTAAGAGGGAAGATAATCATGTATTTAAAAGGGATCAAATCCTTAAACAGCCCCATATATTATATTTCCTCTTTTTTTTTTATTTTTCTGTAAGGTTGCTTTTGATGCTCCTGAAAAGTCTATGAATATCGAATAAAACGAATATAGTGCGTTAAGCTTTTTGATCACCACATCTATAATATATCAATGCACAAAGAGTATATTACATTTTTTTTGGAATATATAATTCTCGAGGGCTTCCGGCTTTAAGTTCTACAGTGGTACGAGTTTGGCTTACAGGCTAAAACCAAGCGAGTATATTATTAGAATTTATGAGAGGGAGGTTTAATACGCAACCATCAAACACCGAAAAAAGAGAGTCGTGTCAGTATGAATCGAACCCACGGCCTTGAGTTTGCGCTTCAATGCTCTTAACCGCTAAGCTACGACAACTTTTGATCCCGGTATGATGGTTTACGTATCTAAACTTTTTATAGTAAGCTCTTTTAAAAAACATATATTTAATGATCGCACGAAATTCAGAATTTTCCAATGCACTGAAATTGCTTGAGGCGTTCATTTTGACGGGCTGCTGTCAAGCCTACAAACGAAATAGTGATTAAGAATTTTTTGAGTAAACCCGACAAAGGATAAAATTAAGCGATGCCTATGGTATTGAGTATAATGGTTGCGTATCTACATAAGACCAAGATTATATCACTCCACCCTTATATATAGTAAAAGAAATATTTTCTTAAATACTTTATTAGCTCGCACTCGAATCCAAACTGCCACTACCTTATTTTATGATGTACAATAAAACTAGTGTTCAAACATGAGAGTATATGCATCCAGTGACAGTTAAAAATATAATATATAGCAATTTATCGTAACTGTATTGACATATAAAAGAAGGCAAACGTTAAAGCTGTGATCCCATTTAGAGTTCCGAAGAAGTCAAAACTAATATTATTTTTATTAAATGGTCAATGCAGATCCAATTAACATTAAAAATGTGGTTTATTTAACTGTCATGCGTACAATTTGTGATAGCAGTGATGTTTAAAGGGCTAATTTTTCAAGATAATATCTACTTGCACTCATTTTATATATAAAAAAATGATAGTATGTGTGGTGTTAATGTTTATAATTACCATAGCAATATTAAGCGTTAGATAGAGGCCTCACTTATAAAATATTCCATCTTAACATTACATCTACTTGATATAGCTTCCATTTATCGTTGAATTTTGCGTAATATATGTGCAATGACTCTATCATTTAAGCGATTGCATAAAGAGAAACCTGAAAACTTAGTGACTTTTGTGGGAAAATCACCTAACGCTAATTTTTTTATCGTATTGAAATTTTATTTATATATGTTATATATACTTATCTTTTTTTTTGTTTTTTACCTAAAAAATTTGTTTCTTAACTAACCAAAAAATAGAACCTTAGTAAACTGCCTCAACCACATTACAAAGCTGCAGTCTTGTCGAATTGCTCTGAATCGCATAAACGTGTCATATCTACACCAGTACAATTCTCACTGAAAAGGTCTTGTTTATCCCGAGGTAAATATTTAGTGCTATAAAAATTTTTTCCAATTTTTTTTTTATATCTTAAGGGTTGCCTTCTGATGAAAGGAAATTTTTCAGAATACAAGAAAGACTCCGAAATGAAGATCTAAATAATTTACAAAAGCGTTTTCAAAGAAGTGCTTCTCTTATTTCTTATAATAACAGTAGTGTGTTAAATAATAAAAACTTCTTAAAAAATAATAAACTTCCAAAGAAATTTTGTACCAAAGTTTCTGCTTTTAATGAAGGTTTGATGAACACTTCATTTACTGCTGGAACGAACAACAGGTTTTTATTTAATATTACAAAAGAAATTAAGTTAAATTCTTTAAGTATAATTTTTCTAAAAATAGTTTTTGTGAAAAATTAATTTTAACAACGTATGTACTTAATTTTTTATTATTATTATTCTAAGCTTTTCACTTTTGAATAAATGATAATTTCAATATAATATAATATAATTGGCCTTAATTTAAAATTTACTTAATTTATCACTATATTCTATTTTAACTTATGATTCCTATCTTATTATAGAAATATATTTTTTTATAAAAAAACTAATTTTAATTTAATTTTTTATATATTTACTAATTAAATATTTCGCACTTACTAAGGTCGCTAAAATTTAGAACTAAATTATTAAAAATAATATTTTGTTATTGATTTAATCTTCGTTGCATATTAATTAAAGATCCTTACGGTTATATGCACTAAAGTATGTAAGAAAGTTTTTATTAGTACATAATTTACTATAAATTATAAATAAAGTTGTATATTATTTTTTTACTGCATTTTAAATTATTGTATGTTTTATAATTTTTAAATGAGTTAATAATGAATATTATTCTTACTAAAGTTTATCTTTAAAGGACGACTTTACGAAGACGTATAAAGAAAAAATTGAATCGTTAAAGATTGAATCGGAACAACTTGAACTCGAATTATTGAAAAAATTTCGAGATGTTGAAATCTCAGAAAGAGAAACTTTGGTAATATTTTTTTATATTATACATATATTATTATTTCTTTATATGCTGATTTTTTTTAGTATTTTTATGAATAAAGAAAAACAATCAAAACATTATTTTTAATTTACAAAAGAAAGTAATGATAAAATACGAGTAATGAACGAATAGCTGTTATAAAAGTAATCTCGAGTTTCTGCTTGATGGCGTTTCGTTCACGTGGTCTTTACAACAATAAATACTTTTTATTATTATATTTAGAAATCTTTAGGCGAATATAAAGTTGTCAGTCCCGTTCAAACTTTTACTGCAGAAGAGCAAAAACAAGTTTGTTATTATTTTTATATTTATTATTTTATTTTTTTATTTTTAGTTTATTCTCTATTTTTATAATATTTACTTTTTATTTTTTTATTATTATTATGGTTTAGTTATAAATAATAATATTATGAATAGTTAAAGAAAGCCTTTCTGGCTGTGCCAGGCACTTTACTTGTAGAAGGTTTTAATCAAGAACTTTATGCTGAAGACATTATAAAGCTGAAAGGAACGAATTGGCTTAATGATGAAGTAAAAAAGTCTTATGTTACTCGTATAACATCAAAAATTTCATATAAAATAGAATTTTGCAGGAATAATAATAATCATTATAATAATAGTTTTAACGATAATACCGCAAAGTGGGTCATATTTTTTACTTATAATGTAGCGAATAATTTGTGTTACAACGATTATCAACTGTTTCATTAGAAATGTTATTATTTTTAATTACGCTTTTAGTATTTTATAGAATAACTGTAGAATTAATATCATCTTTATCTTTTTTTAATAATTACAATTACTATCGCCGCTTATTATCATTACTATAATTGTTATTATTATTACAATATGAAAATATATACTTAGTAATAAATAACTTTTATTGAAGATTATCAATTTTTATGCTGCTCTTATTGTGAAGCGCTCCGAAGAATTTCCGTTTCTTCCGAAAGTGCACATGTTTAATACGTTTTTTTATCCACTATTGGTTAAGGGCTATCATAAAGTCCGCCGCTGGACGCGGAAGGTTTTTTTTTATAGAGGCACTGAACGGAAAAAATAAAAAAAACATTTTTATTAATATAAGAAAGGCATAAACTATTTATATCGTATTTTTAATAACAGTATTATGTATTTATTGTAGTAAATAAATATAGAACAACTTACAACAACTATAAAATAAATAGTATATGGATTTTATATTATAGTAAATATCTTGAAGTATAAATATTGTATTTCCAGCCCTATAATAGTATTTTCATTGAAACTTTTTCATTTGCTTTTATGTAAATTATTAATTTTTAGTTAAAAATATTCGAACTGGATATATTGCTGGCGCCTATTCATTTAGTAAATCATTGGTGTTTGGTCAGTGTGGATTTTAAAAGAAAAATAATAGCCTATCACGATTCGCTTGGTTTTAAATTTTATTATTTATTATTATTATTATTATTATTATTATTATTATTATTATTATTATTATTATTATTATTATTATTATTATTATTATTATTATTATTATTATTATTAGTATTATTATTATGTTGTATAAAAGGCGGGTCGAACCGGCGAATTCTACATCTCTTCAAGCAGTACTTACAAGAGGAGCACATGGACAAGTTAAACTCACCTTTTGATACGTCTAATTGGAAGCTGCATTCTTTGAAAAATGTCACTAAATTTTTTAAAAGTTCTATTATAATTTGATCGTGCGAATAACATTTTCTACTAATTTTTATTTATATGTTTATAAAAATTATAAATACTCATAAATTTTGTATGTAATCAAAGTTTTCTATTATAGTTTTTTTGACTCACTATACTTCAGACAATCCCTTTACAAACCAATGGGGCGGACTGCGGCGTGTTTACATGTGTTTACGCAGAGTGCATATCTCGAAGTGCTTTTTTCGACTTCTCTCAGGACGATATGCCTTATTTTCGCAAACGATTGGCTATAGAAATACTCAATAAACGTCTTTGCATGCCACAAACTCCATAAATTATAAATAAAAACTCATTTATTTTTGTTGAAAAGAATCAGAAGCTATTTGCTTCATTACAGCATTTAATCATAATTATAAATTTTGATTCGTAAAGCGCTAAACTCACGAATCATATATAGTCCTGTTTAGACCTTGTTAAAGCTGGAAGTCAATTCTTGTAATTTTGAGAATCCAACAATTCTAGTAATCGAAATAAGTAATGCTTCAGCTTCACATTTCTTTTTTTTAAAATAATAAACCGTTTTTGGGCGTTTTCTATTTTCCACCTCAATTGTCCAATATGAACTGCTGCCTGATAAAGAATAGCTATTTTGGATGGACAAAAACTTTTATCATGTATAGCATAAGAGGATGGCCACAGTGTTAATGATAGTTTTTCATACAGCTCATTTAAATCGTCCCTCCTCTTGCGTTCTAGCAAGTTATGCAAACAGCGCTTATAGTCCTTTATATAAAGATCTACACTACTGCTCTTGCTCGGTTCATGGCTTTTTGAATGAAACTCTGAGCAGGCCATCCTGTTCCCTGCTTTAGAAGGCCTACCTCTCTTTCTTCTTTCCCATCCGAATAGTTGAAAAGCTTCAGTTATTACATTGCCATCTCTTACCATATCCAACATCGGGGCTATCTCTCCTCCTATCTTGTAAATAAAACTATTTCTACTATTGCCGATGTCGTCAAAACTATTATCACTGGTTATCGCCTCTTCGGTTTTGTTATCCTCGCCTGATATAAAACTTTTTACACTGTACTCTTCATCCAGAGGTAGCTTAGTGCACGGGCTGCTACCTCTTAGTAACGTATTAACTTGGTTTTTGAATCTTATACCTTGGGATAGTTCTTGGGGTTTCCCATGAAAATCGCCTAGTTTTTTTAAATTAGAAGGGAACTGGTCGTTGGAAGACGAAGGACTTCCGCCAGCTTCGGGTTCACGAACGTTACCTGAGGGCAGCTCAGTTATACTTCTAAAATTGTCTCCTGATGAATAAGGTATAAAGTTGTCATGAGCGTTGCCTCCATGATCGTAAACGTTTGGGGCACTAACTGTATCAGATATATAGTGTTTTAAGGTTTTGACGTGCGCGCTCGGTGAAAAGGTGGTGTTAAGAGAGGATGTTGGTCGAAGCACACTGTATGTTTTTAAACGTAGCTCAGAAGTTCTATAGTTTTCATTAAATGGGTAAGAAACAGGCCTTTTGAAAAATGTTGATGACATGTTATTATTAACAGCCGGGGGAGAAATAATTGATTTCTTGGCCTCTAACGCTTTATAATTGGGAGAGTGAGTATCTGCAACCGTAAAAGGGGTTACCACACGTCTATGCTTATCTAAACAGAATTTGCACAAGGGTTGATAGAATTCTTTTTGAGAAGCAGAATCTTTACCTAAAAAAGAAGTTAGTTTTAGACAGCTGCACTTTTCTTTTTTATTTTCCACCTGGTTAGCTGTATCCAATAAAGATGTAAAATTATAAGGCACCGGTGCGGAAAGTGGACGTCTGTTCATACCACTAATTCTAAGTCCATGACTGACGTTGTCTGAAAAAGTTGTTTTTAGGCAGTTATGCGGTTTACTTTCGTTAGAGATATTAGGTAATACTGGCTTTATGGCAGAAGAGAAAGGATGTGAACTTTGTAAACAGGGAAATTGTTCAGGGTTAGATCTATCAGAAGGGTTTTTTGAAGTGTTTGCGAAATTAGTTCTGCAGCACTCGTCTCTGTAATCATGATATTCTTTGCAACACCCGCCTCCAGGGAAAGTGGAGCTTTGCATTCTTATTATGAAAGTGAATACAGTAGGGAATCTTCTTTTAGGGAAGAGCAGTATTATTCGTGGATATTAACTTATTTTAAAGTGTCACAGCGAGTTATAGCTAAACTTCAACTTATTTCTTATATTTTAGAAGAGTTGAGGAGCTAAATAAAAATTTGACTTCTTAATCCTGATGCCTAATACTTAACTGTTTAAGTAGCAAATTTGCAGGGAACCTATACCACTAACCCTAGCGTTTTTAGAATTAACTTTCTTAAAAACCTTGCTAAGTGGTTTTGGTGCCAACACCACTGATTAAGAAGTTTAAGAAGACAACTGAGTTGATCGCATACGGCGTACATAAGATATTTATTTTGTATTCCATAGACATGGCATGTTGCAATTAATGTAAAATGGCAAATGAGCATAAAATGCTAAACTAATAACCTAATAAAAAGTTAATTACTTAGGATTGGTTTATATTAAACGCTAATTTACTTAAGAACAAACAAGAAAAACAGATATGAAGTATGTCGTTGATGAAAGTAGATATACCAACTAAGAATTATAAATTTTATAACCTATATCATTGGTAACAAACTTATATTACTTACTATTAACTGATCTAATATATGGGCAGGCTATATATCAAGCTTATTTGTAATAAGCAAGAAATTCAAAGAGCAGTAATTAAGTAGTAACATAGTAAGTATTACGTTTATTTAAGCGAAAGATAGAAGAGGGCAATGACGTAATTTTATTTTTTAATAGCATACTACCGTCAAGTAAAAGCCAACTTAGAGCTTCTTGCCCATCGTCCCCTCAACAGTACCGCCTTACCATATTGGAAGTGTAATATAGTACAGGTAAAGTACAGGTTTTTTTGCTTGGTGCCTAAATAAATACAAATAATATTATAAAAAATGTTATACGTGGATTCAGTAGTTCGCGTACTTAAAGTATACTGCCGTTGGCCTAAAAAAAATTAACACTAATTGATGCAAGTGAACTTCTTGAGAAACATCCAACCAACAGCTTTCATAAAGTTTTGCCGTGTTACTGATGGCCTACAACCTAAACATATAATAATGCCAACAGACTACATCTACATGAAAACTATATTTGTAAAATTTTAGAAATTTTTAAAAATTAATAGATAAAGCATATTTCACTTTTAATATTTTGCTTAAACAAACACTTTAAAAAAAAGAGTAAATGATTAACTTCGGTTGATTAAAAAAGTTAAACAACAGAAATTTTTATTAGGTAGATTGTAATATCTACATGCTTTAAAACTAAACATTTTAGGTTTCAGGACTTTTAAAATTACTTAATTTTTTCAACTGAACTTTTTATTTTGTGAACACTTAAAATTAGGCACTACAGTTGCTTTATAAATATTCATATAAAAGTTGGCTTATATTTACTTATAGTTTCCATGTTTATTGCTAAAAGTTTAATATTTATTTACTAATACCAATAATTTTTAATTAATCGCAGCGTAACTGGTCAGAAGTGTTGGTCTATATTACAATAACTGTTAACTAGTAATTACATTGATATAAATATTACCTAGCAGACCTAAATCTTTTTAAACTAAATCTTTAAATTAAAAAAATGCTGTTTGAAAAGTATATTTACTATAAATTATATCTATAACCCTCTTTAGAAAGGTTAATGCAAATAATCTGGAGCGTTTTTTATAGGTCATGTTATAACTATTAACTATACCGTGAGGCTATTAAGTATTTCACTAGGGTAAGACTACTATTACCTTTCTTGGCTTACTTAAATAATGAAAATTTATTTTTATAAATAATTAAGTATTTATATTAACTGCATTTTAGCTGAATTAAATGTTTTTGTGGTAAAACAGATATAAACAATTATTTTATTGGTTAATAGAGTTTGCGTGCTCACATATGTACTTTTTACAATTTTTAAACCTTTTCAATGTATTTTAACCTATCGCAAGGAAGTATTTAGAACTTTTTATAGAGTTATCCTCTCCTAGTTTCTTTGCTTAAAGGGGCCTGTAATGTAACGCCCATAAATCAATAGAAAGAAGTAACAGGAATCGCATGACGGTTGACATTTTTAATTAAAATTAACTTTAAAAAGAAAATAGTGGTTTATTATCAATTACTTTTCGGTATGGTATGGTTGAATATAGTACACGATTTCACGTGTTGCTGTTAACCTATTCTAATTAGTTCTACTTTACTTCCATAGTACAATAGTAAATAGTTTTTTTTTAATGGTCTCTTGAGATAGTATTATTTGTATGCTTTATTATGCTGTCATTATACTACCGTAATACTTAAGATGTTCGATGGGTACATGTCATTTTATAATGTGACTCAGCTTGTCGAAAAATGTGCTAAATCGCCTTTTTAAAAAGAGTCGAGTTTACAAGGAATATCATATCATTGTCACATCAACTTATAAAACAAGAAACAAGAATTTGCACCAGACAGCTCAAGAAGTATCCCCACCGAGCCCGAAAGGTCGATAGGCTTGACTTCTGAATAATATGTAATAATCCTTTACTGCATGCGTAGTATTAATTTAAATAAGCTTTGAGCCTGCACTTTGGATTATCAAAGGCAAGCAAGCATAGCTAATAGGGGACTAGTTATTTAAGATGGGAGTTACCTAAAAATGGCTTTAAGATCAAAAGAACCGCGCACTACCCTGCAAAATCGCATCATTGTAAACATTAACTTTGTGAGAGGTCTAGTAAAGTTTAGATAGATTTTGTCCTTGTGCTTTTTTCGTAGATGCTTAGTAATTTTAACTACTTGCCGTCATAACAAAAAACTCGAGACAAGTTATTCAGCTCACTTTATATCTATTTAGAAGATTTATCTGGACATATTTGAGTTATTTAAGTAAACAATGTCACTGGAAAACTTAAAAGCTTGGAAAAATTTGCAGAGGCACTTCACTGAGGCGGGTAATATCTACAACGCTCGTTTGTTTTAATAGCTATTTTATGATTACCTTTTATAATGTACTTTAACTTAAGAATTTAAAAATGATTCTATTTTACTAATAAAAACAATTCTCCGAAATTATTTAAAATTATATTTTTAAAACTTGCAATGAAATAATAATAAGGTAAATTATTTTTATACATTAAAATATCAAAGTTAAGCGAGAAAAGAACTTATTTTATATGTTTTAATTATACTTATAACCATGATATAATATTATAATTCAGGATCCAAATTAAATTTCCGTGATCTTTGTAAGCGTTCAGGGCGTTTTAATAAATACTCACTTGTGTTTTCTATCTCAAGCGAAGAAGAAATATTAGTAACTTGTCTTTCTAATATTATAACTTTTACTTTATAATATCAAATTTATCACTAACACAAACGTACCTACTTTTTAAAGGTTGACTTTTCTAAAAATATTGTTAACGAGGAAACTATGAGTTTACTATACGAATTAGCTCGAGAATCTGGTTAATTTCTATACGGTCATAATATTTTCTTTAGAATATATGTGATTTTTTTTAAATAAAGCACTCGAGATAAAACGGGATGAAATGTTTAGAGGAGAAAAAATTAATTTTACAGGTAAAGAAATATTGTTATTGCTGTAAAATTAATTTATAAATAACTTTTTCGTAAAAATCTAAACTATTTTGAAATTATTAGAACAGCGTTCAGTTTTGCATACTGCCTTAAGAAACCTCAGTAACGATCCGGTTTATGTAGATGGAGTTAACGTTATGCCGAAGGCGAGTATACTATTATGTTTATATTTATTTATTTATTTACTTAAAATTGAAAGATCAATGAAACATTGAATAGAATGAGTACGTTTGTAAATGCTGTGCGTAATGGCCAGAAACGCGGCTACACCGGTTAAAGATTATTACAATAAATATTTATGAAATTAAGAGTACTTTTTCTTGGAAGTTTTATTTATTGCGTAACTTTTTCATATTTTTTTGGCGTAAAATTGACTTCTAATCAATTGTTCAAGTAATTTTTTATAAAATCTTGTAATAAATATTATATAAGTTTACTTTAAAAGTTTTCTTTAAAATTTTTTGTAACTCTGGAAATCCTTTTTTAACATGAAAATGTCACTATTATTTTATAAACTTTTAAAGATTTCCAAAATTTAAATTAATTCTTATATAGAATTTTGTTTTTTTTTACTTTCTTTTTGTTATAATAATTATTTTTTTCTAATAATATTTCACTACACTCTACGTATTCTTAATAAAACTTTTGTTTTTATATAAAAAAAGGGAAATACTTTACTGACATTGTTAACATCGGCATTGGAGGCTCTGATTTGTATGAAAAATATGTTCATTTATAAGTCAACTTTTATTTACCTTTTTTATACTTTTATTTTTATAATTTATAAAATTAAAAATATTTTATTATAGATACTAGAAAATTATTTTTCTTAAGTTTAGCCAATAAATTTAAAAAGAAACCAATAAAAAATTATAAACTTCATAAACTTTCTTAATGATTTTTTTCAATTTAGCACAACAATTATACTGTACTTGAGCAACTGTTTTAGCCAATAAGATAATCCTTTTGGAATTACATATTATTTATTATCTTCAATAGGTATTTTTTATGTCATAAAAAAATTTACTATTAAAATAGAGGACCTCATATGGTGACGGAAGCTCTTAAGCCGTACGGCAGTAAAGATATTGCCGTCCATTTCGTTTCTAATATTGATGGAACGCATATTTCAGAAACATTGAAAAAGTTGAATCACGGTATCTTCCTTTTATGATGCTTAATAATAATAATAATAATAATGTATTTAGAGACTGTATTATTCTGTATTTCTTCCAAAACTTTCAAAACGCAGGAAACCATGACCAACGCCCACACTGCGAGAAACTGGTTTTTAAAATCCGCTGAAAATGTTGGGCTCATTATTTTATATAATATTATTATTTACATGTTGTCTTATAACTATGATCCCATAACTTTTCTATACTTCTAGGAAAAGTATATATCCAATCACTTTATTGCTATTTCCACTAATGAAGAAGAAGCAAAAAAGTTTGGTGTCCAATCGGAAAATATTTTTTGGTTTGACACTTTTTATTAGAGAATGCTACTAATAATTAAGTTTTTATTGGTTAGTTTTTGGGATTGGGTGGGAGGCCGATATTCGCTCTGGTCTTCCATTGGGATCTCCATTGCTTTGTTAGATATTTTCATATATTCACTATTTTTTAATTATAGGTTCATTAATTATATTTAGTCGAATAATAAGACTGTATTATTGTCAATGTATATCATATTTACAAAATTATAGTACTTTAAATATTTTCTTTGACTCCCTTCACGAGTATTAAAAACTAAGATTATTGCTTTTGGTAAACCAGTCAGTAAGGGAGGTACACCAGTATAAAGTTAGTATAAACGAGAGCCCTTGCCTCCCATTGATGCCGGCTTTATATAAATTGTCATGCACTTTGCAACTCCTTTTTGTAATTAAACGGTACTGCTCGTTTATTTGCTGGTTGCTTTCTTAATTAGTAATGTATATCCGTTATTTATATATAAAATCATTAAACACTACACTAAATTTATAGTAGAGAAAATAGTTATAGTTTTTAGTGTATTAAAAATATTTCAACTATGTAGGCTCGATTATTTTTTTTGGCTATTGGTCCGAGCCTATTATATGTACTTGTAATGAAAAGCAGATTAAAAACAGCCCAACAAATAGTTTATATAATAATTTAAGGAAACTTTGCTGACGTGTGTGGAATTAGGCTTTATTTTCGCTTGTTTATTGGTTAATAACATTAATTAAGCCAATTAAAAAAATGTCAAGTTATTTCGTTGTATACAATGCTTATATATATTTTTTAAATATTAAAATATAATTAAAATCATTGCAGCTAATAAAAAAGGATATAGCAATTATTATGATTATTTTTGTAAATAAATTTTTTAAAAGTTATAAATTTATATAAAAGTATTACTTACTATCATTAAATTATATGAAACATGAAAACTGAGTAAATAAAACTTCCTGATTGGCACTTTTTTTTTTTTCTAAATTTTTTAGAAAATTCACAACGGATTCAGTAAAAAAAAGCATAACACTTTTTATTATACAAAAGAATTTTCTAGCAAAAGTTGTTACGATAAAAATATGTATTATTAAAAAGTAAATAAAACTTTTTATACTAAAGAAACAAAATTACTATAACTATGAAAAAAGTATTGCTTTCATAACACACGTTTATGAATATTTATAATATCAAGAAAGTTTGACTTATGTTATAATTACTATGCTTTGCTATTCTTTACTTTAACTATAACAAAAATAGTATTTATTATTAAAAGTTGTTAATATATATTTTGATTCCACAAAATATCTGTAAGGAAAATATAAAGCGCTATTGGTTTTTATTTATTTATTTTTCAGGTATATCGGAATGGACAACTTCATTGCTTTGCTTGAAGGTTTCTTCAAGTTCATTATTTTTAGTTGCACCCCAGTTTTTTTTATTTTTCTTCATTTTTTTTATAGAACAAATATATTTTTAGTGAGTTTTGTTCCACAATTTTTACTCTCATCGTATTCCATCTTTTTGTATATCATTTATATCACTATATTATGTTTTCATATATATAAATTCTACTTTTACTTTGTTACTTGTGGTAAAAAAAAATATAGAAGAGTTAAGAAACAATACTTCATTATTTACTTTTATTTTTATTTAGTCTTTATTTTTTTATGAAAGTTTCTTATTTATAAGAAGCAAATGCTTATCATAAATACATGTGCTTAGAGTTTACATAAATATTTAGGAGCCCATTTGCTTGACTTGCACTTTAAAAATATGCCATTGGAGGAGAATATACCAGTGACTTTGGGTAATTGTTGTGAGCTATTAACTTTTATGAATAGCTTTTGACGACTTTTTATTGGTTGTTAATACTAACTTTTTCTGAATATGGGCCTCTAAATATTTTCCTTGGTTGGTTTTAACAAAATGGTGCATGTTATTATCATAAACTTTAGTGACAATTACTATAATAGGGGTTTTTCCCCATTAATTCCGTGTTGTTGGGTATTCCTAAAATAAATTGCACTGACTACTGTTTAAAGCTTAATTAAATAGTAGTAAAGTTAAGCAATGGGCGCCGCTTTGCTGTTCCAATCAGACTATATCAATATTCATAATATAATATTATGATGTTGGGCTCCCTTTGTCGTTACTGCATAATTAATAATAATAGAAACCAGTAATGATTTGTACTTTATTAAATAGATAATATACATATTACTGGCTCATAATATTTTTCTTAATAATTAGTGCTAATTTGCTGCATTCATATTGTAAGCTTTTGTCTTATTATTAGAAATCGTTGTTTTTGTTGTCATTATAAATATTTTCTTTATATAGTCATTAATTTACTCTTGTTTAATTATTTTGCTCGTCTTTTCATTATATCCCTTTACAAATTTTTTGTTTCATTCGTGAAATTTAGGATTACTTGGAATTTGGTACAACAATTTTTTTGGTGCCCAAAGTTACGCTGTTCTTCCTTATGATCAGTATTTGCACCGCTTTCCCGCTTATTTGCAACAAGTAGTTTTTGCTTATGCCTAAAATTTTTTTTTAGTATATCATTTTTGCTAATTTTATTCCCTTCACTATTTTTTTATTTTTTTTAGTCATTAAATTATTTATTAAGCCACTTTCACGATTTTTTGTATAATTTTTACTTCTGTTATTACTTTTATATATTTTTCATTTTATTTTTATGTACTTTTTCAGTTATTATAGCTTATATATATATTTTTTAAAATAATTTTTTACTAACACTTTCATTATAATATTTTACTTATTAGTTATTTTTATGGAAGGCAATAACTATTTATATAGCAATACTTACCAATTCATTATTTTAACGCTTCCCTCGTAATATTATTTACTTTTCCTATTTATAGTTTTGTATAATAGATAGTTCTAAGTTTGCATAAATAATTGTTTGCTTCGTACTACTTTCTATTTTTTTTAATTACTATTTTTTATATTAAAAGTTTCTATTAATATTTATATATATAAAAAACTATATTTTTTATTTTAGTAAATTGTTTTTAATTTTCCTTTAATTATTTTTATAGATAATTATTAATTTATATATTTCATTATTTAAAAAATTTTATATAATTATATTCTTAACTTTTTTATTATCAATAACTTTTATTTTTTATAATGCTACAAGCTTTTCATATCGTCAACGTTTTATTAATTCTGGTTATTAAATTATTTGTAATAATTACTTTTTTTTATTGGTTAGTATTAATTTTTCTTATTTCCTTTTTTATCGTTTTATAACTGCCTTTACTGTTTTATTTATATAATTATTATTTAATGTTAATTGTTAATTCATATGAACTAAACTCTTTAAATGTGATTGGTTATTTTTTTATAATATTACATTTTCTGATTTTTTAAAGTTTATTTAGTTATTTTTTATTCATGTTAATTTCTGATTGGTTAATTATTTTTTTGTTACGACTTATTCGTCATTTACTTTAATGCGACTGGTTAATAAAAGAGTAATTCATAATTTATTTCATTTTCATTCCTTTTTATTTTTTTGAGAGTAATATTTTTCAATGATGCGATTAAAAATAACGAATCGTTACTTTTTTTAAGTAAACTTTTTTAGTTTTTCCGTTTTATTATATGTTCAATCATTTTTCCATTTTTTCGGTTTTTAATAATTTATTCTCTTTAAGTCGAAAAATTTTTACTGTTTTCACTATTTTTTTCTTTAAAATATATTTATAGAAATATTTTAATAGCAATTTATTAAATTATGATTGGTTTATTATTCATAATTACATAAAAAAAATTATTAAATTGCAAAAGTATATTATAAACTAAAATTTATATTACGATTTCTTGATTTATATTTTTTTATGTTTTTATATTATTTGCATGTTTTTTTCTTTTCTTCGTTGTTAACTTTTATGAACTCAAAACTTTTATAGTTCTATTAATACTTTCCATATTTTTGTAAAAAACCTTCCATAGTTTCTTATTCGGTTATTTATCTACTTTAAGCTTAATAATATTATAAACATTTTTTAATGAAACTCCTCTATTGGTTGTTTCTTGAATGTATCTATTAAAAGTTTGTTTTGTATTATTTTTTTCTTTTAACTTTTTACTATTTCTTTTAAAAAACTGATTTTTACGAATAATATTATAAACTATTAATTATGATAAACTCAGGTGGATATGGAATCGAACGGGAAAAGTGCGGACAGGGAAGGGCAGTTCGTTAATTATTCTACAGGTCCCATCATCTGGGGAGAACCAGGAACAAACGGTTCACTATTTTTTATAGGTATTTATATCATGTAATATTTATTTACTGTATAGGACAACACGCCTTTTATCAACTGCTACATCAGGGAACTAAATTAGTCCCTTGCGATTTTTTGCTTCCAATTGGTCTTTCTTTTTTTAAACAATTCTATTGGCTTTCCTCTTATCAATATGACCAATCGGGTTTTTTACTATTAAACTGCAAAGACCTCACTATATTTTGCCAACATATAAGCTATTTTGTATCTGAAAAATCATTAAAATTTGTTTAAGCTCATTGGTTTTTTAACCAATCACACGACGAGACTTTCAATCAGAAACTTTTATTCCCCTATACTAGTTTCTCATAACCCTATTGGCCACGGAAGACATCACGACATATTAGCATCCAATTGCATTGCACAAACAGAAGCATTAATGAAGGGAAAATCAGAAGAAATTGTTAAGTCCGTCTATTATTATTATTTTTTATTTTTTCTTATTCGCTTTAGTTTTTGTTCCATTAATTTAAAAGATTTAATTATTATTTAATGAATTTTTCTTTTAAATAAACATTTTTACTTTTACAATTATTATTCTATTTTACTTTTTATAATATTTTTATTTTATTAGAAAAGAGCTTGAAAAACAAAAAAGCGAAGCGCTTGCTAACAAACTTCTTCCGCATAAAATTTTCGCAGGCAACAAGCCAAGCAATTCATTATTTTTTACGAAACTGACTCCTCGTGTCCTTGGCGCGTTAATTGCTATCTATGAAATGAAAATCTTTACACAAGGCAATTTTTTTTAATGTATAACACTTGTATATAAATATTATAAGAAAAAAGGTTTATGAATATATAAAAGTTTAAGAATTACTACTTTATAAATGTGTAATAATAAAATATAAATAGTTATATTTTTTCTGTTATATGAAATATACAGAACCTAATAACATAAACGTATAACAGTAATGACATCTATGAAGAACTGTCTAGAATATATAAAATACTGAAACGCTTAAACTTATATTAAAATATTATATTTTATGAAATATTATAAACTTTTTTTAAAACTTTTTGTTAAAAATTAATGATTTTTTATTTAGGTGAACTATATAAATTATTTTATTAAATACTGGCAAACCTTTTTTTAAAAATCTAAAAGTATTTTCTTTATATTACTAAACTTTCTATAAAAATACACTTTTTGTAAAGAATACATCTCGATATTATTTACCAAACTTTTCTCGTTATAGTCTTCATTATTATTAATATTAAAACTTTTATAGGATATTTTTGTAGTAAATGTAATATTGTATTATAATTAAACTTTTTATAAAACTTTATTTAAAATATTAATCCCCTATTTTTATTGTTTTCGTAAAATGGTATCTAGTAAATCCTTTCGTAAAACTTTTATTTATATAAATTAATAAAAAGTTTGCTTGTTAAAGTTAATCTACTTTTTACTATATAAAAACCTTTCTTAATATTACTTTTTTAGTATATTATAATATTATCTTTATATCTTTTATATAAAAAACTTTTAAAGCTGTTGATATTTCAATAAATAAACTTTTTTATTTAAAAAAAATATGTGTGTTGGAATAAAACTTCTTAGTTACATACTTTGCTATAAAATAAACTCTTATAAGATTTATTAGCGAAGAACAAAAATATTATATTTGAACTTGACTTGTTACTAATTTTCAAAAGATATTTTTTTTGTTTACTTTTAATTATTTTTTATTTACGTGTATATCAATATATAATATTATATAGTGAAGTATTATTAATTACTTTCCATTATTAAAAAAAAATAATAAGTTTAATTTTTCTGGTACAGTAATATTAATAAGTACAAGTTTTAGAAAAACACCAGTTTAATATTGTTTAAGTAAAATAGTAACCATAGTCATAAGTAAAAAACAATAAAGGGAGAGAAAAGAAAAGTACGTTGTAGTACTAATTATGCAATCAATTTAGTGAAATACACGAAGCAATGTATTTCACGTTTGCAAGGCGACCTTTTTAGGCAATCTTCCTGTTAATAGTCAGAAGTATTTTTTGATAGGCTTATCCAATAGCTCGTCTGGCAGTAATGCTGAACAAATATAGAATAATGAATACTTTTTTATGGCTTTTTTTCCAAAAAAAACAATAACAGCAAACTTTATATAATAATAATAAATATTAATACTAACAAGTAAAGAATGAAATAATATTAAATAATAAATTCATGATAATAATTGTAAATTTTAAATTAATAAATAATAATAAATTAATAAAGTGCCGACACCCCAAAAGATTTTTATTTATCATAATTTTTTTTGAAAGTAGAATTTTTTTTTTAATAAGAAAAAGGCTTGTTATTCATTTGTCTTTGAATTATTTTTATTACGCGTATATCAGAAATTGTACGGACTTTTCTTTTCTTTTTACTACCAGTAAAAAACGTGCTTGAAAAAGTGTAAACTTAAAATATGAAAAAAATGTTATAATCGAAATAAAGTTGGCGGTGGTAGAGATGTTCTTGGCTGGTGAAAAATGTAAAATGCAATTAACTCATTGGTCAGATTGTTTTAGGTGGAGTTTGATTGGTGGAACCGATAAAAAAGTTTTATGTGGCAATTGCCATTTTAGTGATTTGTGAATATACGAAATGACTTTTTTTAAAGGGATCATCTGGAATATAAATTCTTTTGACCAATGGGGAGTCGAACTTGGAAAAGACCTGGCGACTGCGGTTTTGTCAGAGCTTTCAGGTTTTTTCAGGAATCTAATATTTCTATTATAATTTTGTTAGTGACTTACAAAAAAGAAATAAGGAAGTAGATTGCTTTCTTATATATTTACTACTTTTTTCGTTTATAAATAGTTATATACTTATTTTTATTATATTATAATAGAAAAAAAAATTGTCAGTTCACACGATGAGTCTACTAACGGATTGATGAATTATTATATAAAATGGAATGCTAAATTGTCTAAATAATTTTAATAAACACTCTTTTCCGTTCACAATTAAAAATTAAAAATAATAACAGTATTGTTATTTAGAAAATGCTGAGAAAATAAAATGTTGGCTACAAAAGTAACTTTGCACAAAGAAATTCTCTTCACTTAGTATGCCATTGCGCTACTATGAGCGAATTAATTACTGGTAGACAAAAAAAGAACTCAATTTTTATTAGAGGTATGTCAAGTAAATAGAAATTTGGCAAAAAGAGATTATTAATCTCATAGCACTACAACAAATATTTTAAATATAAACAAGAATAATAAGAACGCATTAAATAGAAAGTTGGATCTAACTCAAAATGCACAGATGTTTTTGTTACTACTACTACTACAAAGTTTTTACTTTAAAGAATAAAATTAAGGAACATTATTTTTACTAACTAAAGGCAAAGTACATAAAAGAATTACTAAAAGGTCATCCAAAAAAAAAATTTCCTAACAATTTTCCAATAAATAATTAGTGGTTAAATGACTGTTACAAAAGGAAAAATAATTTTTCTTAACGCTTCGAGACGATCTTGATTGGTCGAAAGATACATACGGGCTTCAGCAATGATTTTGATTTACCGGGCAGCTGAAAAGTCGATAATGAAATAGATAAACAATTAAATACGCTGCAACTATTTTTCATTATTTTATCAACGTAATATTGAAACCGCCTAAATAGTGCTTTTTACTAAAAAAATGTTTGATCCATAATAGGTGGAAGTAATTATATACGATCATAGAATATTTAATGCTTGTCTTAGTAATATTAGCTCTAAATGTCGGGAGATATATGAGGATTTCAAAGAAGAATCGTCTCCTGTCAGCTCCTAAAAAGTTAGATAGAGTGAAAAGGCGCTGTTCATTCTAATATTGTAGATACCCGATTATTAATTTTTTTTCGCACCACGGGAGTTATTCTTTTGTTCGTTCTTTATAGGAGGATTCTACGTAATGTGCTCTGTTAAACCCGTCCACCATAACTTAGAAGCAAATAAGACAGTGAGTCTCACACTTTCTCACAGCTCATTAGTGTGTCAGCTTCCCCAAAAGTGTTGGGCTTCTGTTAAATATTCGAGATACACTACTTACGGGAAACCATGAACGAATAGGGCCTAGTTAGACGCTGTTTATTGCTCTGACGGTTTAAATAATTATGGCTCTCTACACGTTTGTGCTCTTGGATAAAAGATAACAAGTCTTGCTGCTGTGGTTGTTACTTCGTACAAATCCAAGAGGGGCTGGCTACGTTAAAGTAGTTAATCACCGTTAAGCGGTTTTACAAGTTATAGAAACTATTTAGTAAGGGTAATAATAATGATTATAATAAACTTTTAAATAAGTTGTATGAATAAAATAAAAAGGCTAGTGCTAACTATACATCTTATCAACTTCCTAACAGAAAACGATAGAAGTGCTAAAATAAACAAGTTATTAGGTTTGCTAACTATATAAAAAGAATTCTTAAAGAACTGCAAGGTTTCTTTCTGAATATTTTTTTTCTTAACAAAAAATAAATTTATTATCGAGGCAAATACTTTTACAAAAATACTATTTAACCGCTTCTTTGGTAAGCACTTCATACTTCCGAACAAAAATTAATAATTAATTACAAACCATCAAAATATTAGTCATTCACAAAATCTTATTAAAAAATACAGAAAATACAAGCTATTCATTCTTGTTACAACGGAATTAAGGAGATAAATTGAACTTGCTTAAAACTAACCACTACAAAAAGCTAAACGAATTTTAAAATTATAGATTATTATAACTAACAAAATATTGGCGATCTTAGTGGGATGTTGACTGTGTGATCAATTTGGGATCTTCGCTTTGTATTGTACACTCTGAAGGCTGGTAATAACTAGACTCTAAGGTTACTGTGAAGCCTTACTGAAAAAATATTTAAAGAGAATAAGTAAAATATAAAGTATAATAAAAAAGACAATAGTTTATTTGTGTTTATTATTTTTATAAACGACGATTGGTTGCAGATCGAGAACTTCCAAGCACTTAACATAACGCTCCATCGACTATTGTGATAAAAAATTATTATATCTAGTTATACTTCTCATATTTTAATTATAAACAATAGAAAAGTTTCCAATTAAACATCAAATAATAAAAGCAATTAAAATTCAGCATTATATTAAATATTTACAATTAATTAGTAAATTTTTTTTTCCATATTCGATTCCCAAGCAGTTTAATATACACAAAATTATTATATTTATAAATATTTATGAATTTATTAATTTTGAAATTTTTAATTTATTTTTAAGCTTTTTAACATCGAGAGTTTTCATACAAATGAAACAATTATAAAATTAATTAATATATATATATATATAATTATAAAATTATATAAATCTACTATAACAAAATTACAATTTAACAAGTATTACAACACCAATTAAAAACATTCTTATGAATAATTTTAATACTTTACATACACAGTTATAGAAAAATAATTATAATAGCAAATAGTAAAGAATGCTTCTAAAAACAAAGTTTATAGTAAAAAGTACATAAAAAGTTACTTGAGCGCGAAGGTAAAGCAGCATCCTACGTCGCTGGTGAATTATTATATCCAACTTTCTTTTAGTTTGATGATCGTGTTTGTGAATCTGAAGATGACGAAGTCTCGAGGAGATGCGGACTGTCATGGCAGCAACTATTTACAATAATAGTAATAGTAATAAATAAACAAGCGGGCTGTTGGGGGCGCAACGCTAATGACAAATACAAACACAACAATAACAGGGTAATAAAGTTTCATAGTAATACTATTAAAAAGTAAGAATATAATAAGTAATCTATATTAACGTAACTTTGGCTCTCGGGCGAGCCCGTGTCCGCTACATTCTTAACCAGAAGTTTTCGTTTTTCTAAAATTTCATAACTAGTTTGAACTTTAGAAGATGCATTTTGCACTAAATAAAATATTATTATATTTATTATTACTTATAATCATGTAAACAAACCCGAAAGAAAAGTTAATAAATTTTCATCTTGAGAAATTTCCTCTCGGACGTTATCTAAGCTTGGCGGCACTGCATCATCTTTAATTGTTCGTGGTGGCTGCATTTTATAATGTTAACAAAATTAGTAGCATAATAATTTATATTTTTTTAATTAAATATTTAATAAAATTATGTTAAAATAAAAATATATATATAAATAATAAAAGAATTAAAAAATTAAAAGAAAAATTAAACATAGTAAATGAAGTATTAAGCATGTATTGTTAAATACAAAATATTGTTAAACATAAAAATAATAGAGGAATCAATCATAGTAAATAAAGTAGATAACATTATTTATAATACATAATATACAAGATTTTGTTTAAAGAAATTTAAATTAAAATAAATATCGTAAGTTTTTAATTAATCATTAAAACAATTATTTTCTTAAGGAGCGATCATCTTAGTAAACCCTAGTAATCGAAGTGCTTTTAACCTTCGTGTTAGCCCCACGCCCCAATAAATGTAGTTTTTTTAAGCACAAAATAAAACTATAAAGAAAAAAAAATAAAATGTACAGTATTTTTGGTAAACTGTCAATTATCAATAACTAATAATAAAAACTTAAATTTATTGTAGAAAAAAAATATAAAGCGGAAAACGGCAGTGACCAAAAAAAAGTTTTCTACATAAAAAATATCTAAAATCTTACAACCGAAAACGATCTAAAAATGATATTATTCTATTAATCACGTGCTTTCATAGACATAAAAGTTCTTATTTCTTTCTAAAAGCCCAAAATATATACAAATCTAAAAAAGCTAGAAAACTTATAGTTTTATTATATAAGTTTTCACCTTCAAAGCTCTTAATATAATATACCAATTTTATGGCCTTTAAGTGATAAAAAGGGTTTAATTTCTCCTTAATTAACTTTTTTTGCGACTTTGATAAACTTTTATCTTTCAATTCCTTCTTTGTAACTAAGACATATTTTAACCTTAACTTTATAAAATAATAAGAGACAGCTAGGGGGAACCTTTCGGTAGATATCCAAACAAGACCGGTTCGTTTAAGTTCCTCGAAAAAATCTTAATCGATGAAACTGCAGGCATGGAACTCACTATGGCATAAGAAAATGTAGAGAGCTCATATAGGCGGAAATAAAACAGTTTACATTTTTAAAAATTACTAAAGAGAAAGACTCAAATTTCATAAATAGTGGTAGTAAGTTATGGTATAAAAATTGCATAATATAGCTATAATTTTCATAAAAGTCAAGGTTTTGAAAAAAAAATTATCTAAAATATAGAAAAGGCGAACAAAATTTAAAAGTTTTAACCAACATTTCTTATTATCAGGACTTTGCTTAATAAACATTTAAAAGCATTTGTTATCTCTGATCAATAATATAAGAATAATGTTATATACTATCAAAATGACTTATTGATAATAAGGAACTCTTAAATATAAATACTCAATATACCTTTGCCAAAAAATTTTGTAAGCATTTCAGCAAGGCCCCTATGGTTATCTCAAAATTATTAATTGCGATTTTTAAGTTAATTCTTTTTAAGCTTTTAGTTAAGGAAATTAAAACTATAAAAATATCGCTTTAAATTAAGCGTCACCAGGTTTAAACCTTTCTTCCTTTAACTACTGAAGAAATATTGCTACACCTTTTTTTTTGAAAGTAACTCCTTGTTTGGGTGGATTTTAGTTTTTGGTGCTCGATCGAGTCAACAAAATCGGATTATATCGAGCTTTAATTTTTTAGGTTGCTAATAATTGCATGTTTAACAAAAATATTTAGAAAGAGAATAAAATTATTATTATTAGAGATTGGTTATTGTTATCCTATTTAAAAAAAGTCTAAAACCAAAACACCAAATTAAGAAATATATGTTCCTAAAGTTGCAAGCAGTACAAAGTATCAAGTTAAATACTTAAAGCCAGCATAACGAGCTCAAGAGTTGTCCATTGTCCCGCATACTTAAAGATCGTGGGTGTTTTCGTATTTAACCTAGCCTTCATAAGTTTTAATAGAAAGGTGCTTACCGTTTTTCTAAATTACTTTTGTGAGCTAAGGGCTCCCTTCGTTCTGGCGAGGAGCTCATAGTCGGGGGGTGCCTGACTGGCAGTGGAGCTGGCCGGTGCCTCCAGGTGGCCTGGGGTTTTGTGCCTAAGGCGCCTCTCCCGGTGATGTGTTTAGCGGTTTTCCACCATACTAGACCGATTGGCGGGGGCCCGGGCCCGTCTTCACCGCTTTCACAGTCCTTCGGAACAGTCATTATGGCTCTATTAAGGGCTACACTGGTGGGCACAAGCGCCCCAAACCCTGAAGAAGAGGGGATTCAGATAAGCGACTTAAGGTCTCAAGGAGAGAGGCCCGTAGTATGTAAACTGGGCTTTTTGACGGAATGTTAAGTTTATATAATTCTTATGCATACAATAGATTCCTTTTTTTATATTTATGAGTGGCTGTCAAGTTTTTTAAACAACATTCCGAAAACAAAGCTAATATACTTTTGATTTTGATTTCTTATGAAAGTCTTTTATTTCCCAGTTTACTGGTGCACTAGGCCACCGTCAAACTCCCTATCAAGCTATATCTTAAAGCATTACTGATTTTATTACTGTAAGCGTTGTAACACCCATAGACCTTTCATTCTTAGAAAAAGCATTTACGTAACCCAAAAGAAGTATTGTTCGGCAAAGTTAACAAAATATTTTTGAGTTGCCCTACAGAAGTATCGCTGCAAAATCCGAATATCTACAAATCGTTTTTCAACGCCGTACGCGCTGCCTAGACCCTGCAGAGGGTTCCCACATGTTCATATTTTTCCGTTTCTCTTTTCAATTCCAGCTGAATTGCATACTTGTATTTAGAAATCTTAGAGCTGCACTTCACTCGTAGTTGTTGTTAAACTAAGAATTTTCTCCCACTTTTTTATATCTTCCAATAGATCCTTAATATATATTACCGCCCACAGAAGTGGTGCTTTCTTTTAAAGTCACTTTGGTTAAATCTATCCGCATAACTTTCGAATTTTTAAGTAAAAGGAAAGCAAAAAGACTATAACCGAGAACCATTTTTTGTCCAATATTGTACATCTTTATCGACTTAAGTGGATCCTAAATTTTTTTCATAAATTTAAAAATTTACTATTTTTAAGGAGTCCTACTATATAGCCAAAAAGGAACTATAAAATAATAATTTTTACGTGGCTAGTCATAAATATTACTTTGCTGTAATTTTTTTAAAGTAAACTTAAAAGCTAAAAAAAGACAGTTTTGATAAAATTAGCCTTAGTTATATTTTAGAGCAATCAGACTATACAGCTCATACAGCTATGAAATCAATAAATATAATACTAAAAATTTAATATTTCAACAACTTTAGCATAAAAACGTGGAAAAGCATCTCAAGGTGTATCAAATACACGCTGCAATTAAATAAAGGGACTTTTTGCATTAAAATTTATTTAAAGATCCTTATATAAAAAGTAAACAGGTGACTAGCTATAAAGAACTTTCGCTATGTTATAAATTAAAAGCTTTTTCAACCACTTTTGAGATAATATTTACTACAAGTTTTTATGTTACTTACTATTAAACAACTCTGAAACAGTTGTGTGGAAAGAACGAGGCTCTTCTTTATAGGTGATTAGTTTCAGCTGGTCGCTATTGTGGTTAAAGCGTTCAACAATAGAATTTATGAGACCTACAAACTCCTCAAAAATGGATTCCGAGTTGAGGGTTCCTAAAAAAATATAAAATAGGATACTATTGTGCTACATGGACATAAGAGTAGGTAGGCAATATTATTTTCCAATGTATAAAAAGTAATAATGGTCAGTACATTATCTTGCTCAATTGAATATAAAATATTACACAAGCTAGAACTTCATGATTAATAAAATAATAAGAATAAAGGAATCAATCAAGTTATCGCGAAATATATAAAGTACCCTCTTTAAACATTTCATTTGTATTTGGTACATCTACATTATTGTCATTATTACTATTACTACTACAGTAGTTAATATTATAGTCATTATTATTATTCGTATTAAAATGTGAAGTAGTATAGTCGTCAGTAAAGCCCCGTATGTCTTCAGAAAACTTTAATGAAAGCGTATCTAAAATTCTGTCCAACTCTTTTTTCGTTTCATGTAGTAATAGTTTCACTTTTTCAAGGCAACACCTGTCCTGGACCGGCTCTTCTTTTATTTTTTCTCGAGACTTCAAATTTTGAGAATAATTATTATACGAAAGATTGAGTACCTCAACGAACTCTCGCATAAGCGCCTCCCTGTGTCTTAGCAAATTCTGCAGAAACAAAATTTTCTTTTGACAATTTGGTGAGAGTTCTGGTATAGAAGGAACTTCTCTATCATAATTTGTACAGACCGTCAGTGTAGCGTTAACATTCATTAATTTTTCTTCGTTCATAGTATGATGAAGTAAAACATTCTCTTCAAAATGATTGGGTGGCTTCATATTGGTGTCCGTCAATTGTTCTTGCTGGAGGGAAAGAGCCCCCTCACAATTAGTGCTCTTCCCTTCAGAAGGCTTTTGGGTGACTTGAACCGCCTTGCAAAGGTTTCTGTCGGTTAAAGACTCTTCACTATAATTATTGTTAGAGTCTACCATAGCTGTATAAATACGAAGTCTAAGTGACGATGAGTATTACATAACTTATTTATTTACCAAAAACTTTATTGGTGCCGTCTAGTATCGGTTCACAAGTTTGTTTAATAAGTTTCTGATTGGTTATTGAATTTTCATTAAAAATCGGATTAAACTGTTCACCTGATTCCTCCTTAATTCTCTTGTTTAGCTCCCCGTTACTGATCTCTAAATATTTATTGACTATTTTTTCTTTTTCATCAGAAATTACATTTATCGTTTCATTATTTTCATTTGATTCTTCTCCTTGCTTATGGGTGCTAAAGCCCTCAGTAGAACTTGGAGCCACTACTGTTAACGAACTATTTTCCGTTTTTTTGATGGATTGGGAAGATAAAGTTTCACTACTTTTTATACAATCAGGGTCGAGCCAGCATCCTATTCGATGATGGAACTTGCGTTGTGTCTCTGAGCATTTCGTAGACTTTGTTAAAAAAGACAATAATGAGGGCAACGCGCTTTTCTTTGCCGCAACTTGCACGACTTGTTTGAAAAGAACCTCCAACTGCTTCAGCTCCTCCTGTTGGTCATGTAATAACCAAAAATTTATATTTAAAAAAAACTTATTGGCGCATTATAAGAAGTTTATCGTAATTGCCTCAAAGACGTTGATTAGCACGAGAAATTCCACACATACGTCCAGTTTGTATGCCAACTTTTCTTTCTCCTTAATAACAGAAAAGTTAACACTGTGGCCTATAAAAATTCGTTAAATTTCCTTGATATAATCTTATTAAGCCAATCAAGTTAGTTGTTTCATTCTTTATAATGATAATAATTATTATCCAAAGCATTTTCATACTTTTCCATTACTATAACAAATTAATAATGGATCTTGTTCAACTCTACTATCATGTTTACTATTAACGTATTAAACGCGTTTTCATAGTTTCATTATTTTTATAGTCAACCAACCGGGACAAAAAGAGAAGTCGGTCGTCGCGACATATCGCACATAACAAAAAGGAAACGGACAGCCGCATTTTTCCAAAAAAATAATATTGAACCATTTAAATCCTATAAATATATCGAGTTCAGCTTAATATTAATAGAAAATAATAATAAAGGTATAATGTATAATATAGAAAAGTAAACCGCAAAGAAGATAATATTATTATTTATAAAAATATGAAAGTAAACTAAAGGAATATTATAGTAATGAATAAATAAGAAATAAAAACGAAAGAATACATAATATTAAAAAATAATATCCGGAAAAGTTTTGTATAATAAGAGTAGTAACTATTTAGGAACCTTGACAGCGAATTCCATACAAAATTTTATCACAAATCACATCTTTTACCTAAAAATAAAATTTAATTTATAATTTTTTTAAGTATTCTCTCTAATAAATAAGGCACGAACGTAACTTAAAAGAAACCCATTATTATTATATATTTGTCTACCTGTACAACAGTTGTCCCCTGCCGAGAAGCAGAACCTATGGAAATATAAGCATTGTAAAAACAATAATATTAGCAACCAAACAGAAGATGTTATAATGGAATAATAAAGTTAGAAAAAGAAAAAAACTTTCTGTAAGCTTTATATATTAAAAAAAATTTTGAAGGTAATATGAAAAATAAGTTACTTTTATATGTACAGGTATTTATCGAACTATAGGAAATATTATAATACCCCGTAGAACCGTCGGTGCTTTTTGTTATTAATAATAATTTTCTCAATATTTTAGTAATAAGCAAATTTGTTTTATTTATTATAAAATTGCAATCTACAAAAAAAAGTTGTTAAAAGGCATGAAAATATATCCTTTCTGTAATGATTTGTTAAGTTTTTAATATTGTACAAATAGAAGAAGTTAATGTTTATGTTAGAATGGAAATATTATAATCGTAAGAAAAACTAAACGTTATTTACTTTGCTATTAAAATATTATAAACTTTATATATATTTTATAACAGTATAAAATTCTACTGTTTCATCTCTCGAAGCGAAAAGATGCAACAATAATAAAAATAAAGTTCGAGTTTTTCTATGCCTTAAAAGAAGCTTAAGCAACATATTTTTCATACTAAAAAGAACCAATTATAATTAAGATTCATAACGTGCCTAAAGTCAACTAAAATAAGGAGTTTTGTTATATTTTATATAAACAGAAAATAACTTGGAAAGATTTCTTGCCCTTTAAAGAGTGGTATAAAAATATAAAAGAAAAAATAAGAAAGTTCGTAAAATTAATAAAATATATATATATAAAGTAAACCAATTATAATATAATTTAATAACTAATCAGTGCTTTTTCTTTCCTTCAAAGAATAAAATTTAAATCATTATTAAATTGTATAATAATAATAATAGAGAAGCGCTTATTTACGCCGTGATTCCAGACGTTTAGTAATTTTAGAAGGTGAGCATGGTACTTCGAAATTGTTCAATCTATAATATTCATTTCTGTAATTAATAAAACAATAAGTAAAATTAATATACTCAAGTAAAAAGAATCACACCAATAAAGATGCACAGTTTGAATTAAGAGGTAAATTAATAATCACTTTTTTCGGGTATATATACAATTAACTCGCTAACAACAGAGTAAACTCTTTTTTCATATTATGTGCGCTGAAGAAGGCTGAAGCGAGTTTTAGAAGAGTTTAAAATTTCTCTATAAAATTTATACAGTAGCTCCAGTGGTTAAAGAGGGGCCTTCTGGGCTCATAAAAAGAAAAAGTTTACTAAAGTTGTCTTTCATTGATTATTGAGTTGCACACAAAACCAGATTAAACTAAAGTTTTTTCTATAAATAAATTATTTAAATAATCATCTATAAAAAATTTATAGAACACAAATTCAATATATTGCTTCAAACATAGATATATAATGATTTATAATATTATACATATTTAAAGCAGGGAAGTACATATTTATTAGTGTTTTTAAAAAGGATACTTATAATTCTTAAAAAAGTTAATAAAGAAAAAAAATGAAGCGCACTAAATTATAATTAACTACTCTCATAAAAATTGGTACATGGATATAGTTCAACGAAATTAAAAAAAAAAAATTAAACAGAAATTTAATAAATCATAATAAAATTTCGTATAACGCTACCGATACTACTAAGCAAGAAGCGAAAACTTTAAAAAGGTATAAAAAACGCATATTAAACTACGAGTACAAAAGCGAAAGAGTGCACTGTGGCAATTAACTTCTTTAATAGTAAAATAAGAAAACTTCTGCTTAAGTAATAGGGACCTTATTTCACTGAGGGGCTTCCCTTGGTATTTTACACACATCCAGCCATCACACGATTGTCTTGAAGGGGTGTCCCTTCGAATGCAGTATATAGCAAAAGCAGAAACAGATCGAAAGTTCATAACTTTATCGTTATCGGTGAGATCAATGCTGGAATCCTGATAACAAAATTTTAAAAGGATAAAGTTCTGTACAGTTATATAACGAGGAACTTCTTTCAGATCAGCAGTATATAAACTATTGCGATAGTCGAAAGTAACACTTCTTAAAGATGGAGAGATTAATTTGGCTTCCATTAGTTCCTTTAAACCAGCTTTACAAGTATTGCTTTTCCCTTTTGCTTCGGGTGCTCCAGCGGACGAAAGTGCGCTGGCAGCATTGGTCGTACTCTCAACTTCAGAAGTTTTTTGAGCCATAATCACTCTTATTTCTTTCTGAAAAAAATTATAATTATTAAAAGGTATATTATTAAATAGTTATAGAAAATATTTTTATAAAAGCAAATGCTAAATAAAACCGAGCAAGATGTTACTTAAACGGGAAAAAAAAAGAGGAATAACGAAAGTCGTAAAAATGGGAGTTACCTTAAAAAAAGGTGAAAATAAAGTGAAAAGGGAGTTACTTATAAAGTTTGGCCGAGGTAAAAATATGTATCAAAATATTTCCAAAAACGTGATTACTATACTATAAGGGTTGAAGGCAGTAAAGGTTTAAAGCTGATGTCAGCTGAACTTAGTAGATTCAAAAATTTAAAAACACTTGTTCTAGATGTAATATCTAATATGGCTCTAAATAACTTCAATTTAACTAAATATATTTTCTATTGAGTCGTTCGTCTTGATGCCTCAGTGGAAATCAAGTTTTCGTTTTTTTAAGAGCGACGTCGATAACAAGCCGAATGAAGTTTTCCCACTTATTACTGCTGAGTACATATATATTAGGGCTTCTCTTTAATAATTAGTAATTATATAATTTTTGCATTTAAATAATATTGTTAAGAGCCACTTTAAATTTTCATGCGCAGGTAAATATATATTGAGCTAATATTAGGAACTTTGAAAGGTTAACGCATCTTTTTATAATCATAAAGTTGTGACAGCAAAAATATACTAAAAAAAAGCCATCTTTTAATACGAAAGCTGGTATAATGCTAAACTAAAGGCGGCCGACCCCTTCATAACAGAAAAACACCGTTTAACTATTGGGGACGCAGAGAGTTTTCTTAGACCCCACCCATAACAAGGTGAACGTTTTCTTCTACCCTTTTACAACAGCCGACTAAGATATAACTTTATTATATGTGAGCTAAAAGTCTTCTTTCTAAGCTAAAAAATTGGTACTATGCCCTCTTTCTGTCTGAATATAGCACATCATTGTCAATTAATTATTATATATTAAACCTCACTATTCTAAATAACTCGATGTACAACGCAAAACAAAATTTGTTAGTCAACGGGTCTACTCATAAGTTTTTGACGTTAAAATTGAAATAAAGTAATAATAGACCACTAAGCTTGTTGGTGAGCAACCTATTCTTGACTTTAGTTTCATCTTTTTTTGGGGAGGACACTTTGCGGAGAAGAAATATTGTAAGAAAAGTAAAAAACCAACTAAGATTTACAAACTTCGCCTCGGAGACACTAAGCTGTTGTTAAAGAATAAAAAACTAGTTTAAAAGGTTGTAAGGCCGTATAAATAGCATAGAAAGAAATAGGACGAGTGAGTTAATTTCATAGCCTGCTAGCGGCGGGTAAAAAGATATTATCTGCCAGATTTTATTAGCAGACGACTAGATTAACAGGCACAGTTGAAACTGCAGAATGGGCCGTTGAAGAGAAGAATTTAAGGTAAGATTATAAGGTTTTTATTGGTTATATATATTAATACTCTTCCTGTCTCCGGTTTGGTAGTAAATTTTAACCACTTTATTTAGATAAGTTATTAAAGGTAAAAAAAGATAGTGATATTTACTTTTAACGAATTATTAAGCGTTATAAGTAATTAAAAACCTTCTACGGGATGCTTCTGTAAACCTCAAGCTTGTAAAAAATCAATAAGCATGATTATTGGGGGGTATAAAAATGAATCGACTAAAGTTTAGACTAACATTTTAATTGTAAACTTGAAGGTTCGATAAATAAATATAAAATATAGCTTTAACAAATACTTATGGACATTTTTAAACTTATTAATATTTCAACTCACTGGGATAGTGTACCCTCTTAAACCGATAAACAAACCTAGAGAACCAAATAAACGGTGTAAAAGCCACTTCTCTTTACAATTTTGACCTGTGCCTAACAGGTTCAATTTTCACGAGTATATACTCCCGTGTGAAATTATAAGTCATCTAAATTTTTTTCAGATTTCGCAATTTCAAGAACAGAAGACACAGGACACAAAAATACTACAAAGCATTGCCAAAGTTTATCACTCACAAACGGAGCTTAAATGGTTGAATCGCCTTTTTGACGTGAAACTTTGAAACTTTGAAAAAAACCAAATTAGGAAGTTATCTTACGCTAAGTTAACAAAATCAAATAAAAAATATAATTTTGTAGAAACGGTTATATCAGCTATGATATTAATTTATACTTGGGTAAAATGTAATAATGGGCCAAAAACTGGTTAATAAAATTAGCTTTTTCGCAATTATTTTTACTTTTAAGTACTTATAAAATAAACTTTTTATTATAGCTTTACTATTTCTTTAGAAACTCCTTGCTATCAGTCAGACATTAGAACTGAAAATTGTTAAATAAAGGCGACCCAGGAACTCCAAGAAACGGAGCAAAATATACAGTTTTTTATTCAAGTTTTTTTTTTAATAAAAGTCTCTTCAATAAGTTATTACATCCTGGTAGTTTCTTTAATAGAAATAGAAGTTAAGTAGGGAGCTTATACGAATAAGAAAATTAATAAAAGTTCTGAAACCGATGTAGAGGCGAGTGTACATTACCAACTTCTCGCGAGTAGGTTAATATTGAACAGCCGTATGCCAGTATAAAACAATCAAAACTTGCAAATATTATTAAAGAATTAATCTTACTTAACTGAATAACCTTGTTAAAAATTTTTGAGTTCGGAAGTGAAGATAACGACAGTAAAGATATAAATTAACAAAAAAGGGGGATCCATACTATGTTATATTTTTTGAACCTAGTACTACCCGTTCCAAAGATTACAAAATGCTTGCACGTAACTTTATGTGTGTCACCCCTGTAAACACTTTTTATGTTTTGTCCCTTTTGTAGCTTCGTTTAAATGGAAACTTAATGTTATCATTTCACTTAGTTGTCCATTAACTTCCTGACTACATTCTGAACTAAAGCTTCACTAACTTTATTAAATAATTTTTCAGATTTTAATACCATGACAACTTATTAAAAGATCTAGACGAAAAATATGCTAGTATAGTTGATAAAGCTCTAGCATATATCCTTCGTGAATATCAGAAGATGTAGCCTTCTATTTAGAAAGTACTTTCCATTATAAAATGCGTGGTTAAAGGTTAAAGCTATATTTTTCTTAAAAAAAACTAAGTTGGGTTGTATTTAGAAAAATTGACTCCTTTGTGTTCGCTAACTAGACTTGTTTTGTTAGAAGTTTGGCTTTATTGTGTTGTTGTTTGAGCTAATTAACTTAAATAATAATCTTTGCGATGAGTAGTGCCATCGCCTCTAAAAGCGAATTTAAATTTAATACGCCTAAGAGATCATGTGAATCCTTTGATGAAATATTGGGTGCGATCATGCTAAGTTGGCTTGTACACTACTTCTATTAGAGTTAGTAAGACCCTCTGAAAACGAGGGAAGCAAGAGCTGGTTAATAGGAGGTGATCCAGCACCTACGCTCCTTCCGTAGCTGCGGGGGTGGCTTTCGGTTTGCACTTGTATTAGCTAGGTACACACTCGGATGGTTTTTCTGCCTGTTCGAGTCTGTGTGCTGGCCTTTCAGTATTAAGTAGCAGTACTATATATATAACACAACCATTTAAATAACTAGAAACGTATAAAATCAGATTGCTTTATTATAAAACTTTAAGTTTGTAACTTAAATCTCTTAGTATTCTGTTATTTATAATGTAAGAAGTACCCTTTATGCGGCGTACTACTGTTTTTTTGTAAATTCATAGAACGTTACTACTCTTAATCGTAGTTATTTTTATTAGGATTATAAAGTAAAAAGTGTGCTTAAATCTAGTATTAGTTACTAAAGATTAGACTATGTCCACTTTAATTCGCCAAAAATATTTTGAAATATTTCGGCTCAATTACGGGGAGTGTAGGTTCTCTAGTGACGCTTAAGTTAAGTTTTAGCTGAAACTGACAAGTCTTTCCCTTTAGGGGGATATAAAAGATTCGATTAGTTGATATATACACGTATAATTATTTTTTTTAACTTTAAAATATTTAAAATTATTGTTTTTTCTAAAATAATATATAAATTTGTTGCCAAAAAGCCTTTTAAACGTTTTTTATTTTTTTAATCTTTAGTTTAAAGGGGAGCAAATATTTTTGGACTTGGGGCTTTGTGAAAGAAAAAAAGGTGTTATGTTACGAAACGTATTCTTTGATCTCAATACCATAAAGTGGTATTTTGAATATAAAATTAATTTCTTATAATTTTATAATTTAAACGTTTCACTTCATATCTTTCCCACAACAAATACAATTTTTTTTTTGTACTGGCACAGTAAGTTCCTCTTTTAGAATTTTACAGGCTCAATATTTCACCATTGTTACTTCTTTTTACAATTTAGACTTTCACCACGCCATAAGGTGGACGCTCATTTAGGAAGCTGGATGTCAGCAGAAAAATAAACAACTTGTGTAGACACAGACCGAAAACAGGAAACAGTCGAAGAACAAAAAACTCTAACTTTTGCCTTTTTTGCCTTTTTTGCCATATTCTTGTGTTTTATTAACGAGTCTATTTTTCAAGTTACCTGCTACATACATAAGGCGAGGGTCTTAAGTGTCTAATGTTAGTAGGCTTAGCTCGTCTTTCGCCCATGCACTTCATTTCTAGAATCATGGAAAACTGTGTATATTAAACTATTATCTTTAGTATTTCGTTATTTTATACAGGTTAACTCTTCGAATTTAATATTAAAACTTTTAATGGGGACAATCGTGTCATTGTAGCCCTCCACTTGGAAGCACACGCCCCATTTGTGTTACCTCTTTTAGACTCAGCCTTCTCTTATTAGAACTATCCTCAGACTAAGCTTTTTTTTACGTAAACCGCAAGGATACTACTGTTTTGAGCTCACAAGGCGCTTTTAAAAAGGTAATAGGGCCCAAAAAAACCTACGTTTCTATTCAAGAATTATTAACGAAGGTTTAAATTAACAATCCTTGCGTATTGTGTTCGCAAAACGTATAAGACAGTTTATTTACCTTAGCTGAAGAAAAGTACTTCTGTGTCAGCCTAGTCTATAGTACTAGTACCTTTTCTAGTATCTACCTAGCTATTCTGGCTTGTCTACGGCCATTAGTGCCTTTTCGCGGCGCTGGTGGCTGTTGATACTAGTGTACTTTCCATATGCTATGATAGATACTAGGTACTAGTACTATATATATTACCGCGCCGCTCCCGAATATGCTAACCCTTCCTCGTTACAGAGTTACGGTTATAGTGGCTTTCTTATTCACCGTAAACTATAGTAGTGTGCCTTGTAACTTAGTAGCTTTTGTCAATAATCTGATAGTGAAACAATCCAACAAGTAAATAGTCGATTATATTTGTGTTTTATTGTTAGATTTTTTTAGAAGCCGTCATCATGTTATAAGTTAGTCATTATATTATTTTAACATTTAATTTTATAATTTATTATAACATATTGTAGAATTTATTTCATTATATTTAAAATTTTGTATTGTATTATGTTATATTTTTTTTATTCATTATTTTAATAGTTTAAATTTCATTTTTATGATTTGTATAAATTTAGTATATTTATTTCATTTTTATTTCATTGTTAATATGTTTGTTATTATTAATGTCTACTGACAGAACTTATCAATATTTTTGTAAAGAATTTTTATTAAAGTACATGATGCCCTTACTCGCTTGAGGATTTTCGAGAGAAAATTACAAACCTCGAAAAGGCTATTACTAATTATAAAATTAGGAGTGCTAATTTAAAGAGGTTTACGCTATTAGAAGCTTAACATTCCAATTTCAAGTTTAATAAGTAATTTAATCTGTTTATGAAGATGCGTTCCAGAATAAAGGGAAGAAGAGTGAGCCACACAGAACAGACCGGATGGTGGCTGAGCATATGCTTCGCTTAACAGCCATCAATGAAACAAGTGTGTTCTCATATATGTTTAAAAGCTAAAGTCGCTCCAAATGTTGTACAAACACTTTATAATAAATTGTATTAATAGCACTGCTATTAAAAAAGCAGTTCGTTAATGGAATAAATAAGTAACAAACAAGCTCCATATAAATAGTAAAATAAGAAGCTTTATAATCAGTACTAAATAATTTTTAAAAGATTTTTTTTCAGCTAAGAATCTTTAACTCCTCGAGCGGTGTACGAACACGTAACTCTTTTTCTTGCATCAAATCTAATAACCGAACCCAGTCGCTAGTAAATTTGATGCCGAGCATATATCTAATATAAAGATAATCGTCCGTAATAGTTTAATAAAAACAAAAGAAAAGTGGTTACAAGTGCTTCGAAGTAGGGCAGCACTGCAAGGCTCGATAAACAATGCCTTCGATCTGCTTACAGTCATAACTCTCATATTGTTTCTAGAATAAAAAATGGTATAAATACATCATAAAAATAACAATAAATAGAACCTGTATTCAAAAACGAACAAAAAATTAGCAGTGCTAAATAATTTCAGTGTTAAATTAAAAAATAAGCAAGATAAATTTGCATCCATTAGAAAAAGGTTATAGAAAGCTTCGAAGAGAGCAAACTTACAAAGAGATCGAGGTTGCTTAACTCGGTAGTTACACTATAAGAAATATAAAGCGCCCAAAGAAAACCTGCTACGGCATAGTAAAGATGTTTATTATATCTATAATAGAATATATTTTTTTTAAAATATTTTATAAGGATTACGAATAAGTATAAAACAATAACAAAATAAGGACAATTGGAAACTGTAAATGAGATTAAATAATAAGTTAATAAGTTATTTACAAGTAAAAAATCTTTTTTTAAAAAAAGTAATCCTTTAAAGCACAACTTGTATAAATTAAATTATAAACCGTTAAAAAAAAATAAAAAGTTGATATACAATTAAATATTAGAACTCGCGGCTATAAAGTACGAATTAACGACAATAGTCGAAGCAAATTAACTTAATAAAACGAATAAATATTATTAAATAGAAGTAATAAGAAATATAACAATTAAATTTTAAACGAGACTTGAATGCTTTAAGGTAGAATCGTTGGCAAACTCCTCAAATATGGAAATGAGAGTGGAACTTTGGGGATTCTGAATAGAAAACTGAATTTCGTTCTGTTCATATATTGAAACGTAAAAGCTTTATAACAATTTCTGCAAGGCTTAATAACTAAAAAAAATTTAAAGTACCAAAAGAGAGAAAAAGTAAAGAGAAACTCCAGAAACTTTTATGGGTGACACAAGCTTATTAGTATTCAGTGGATGTTCACTTCGTAAGTTTGAAAAAAACCGTCGCGAACAAATCTTATAAATTATAGTTAGTTTTATATAATATTATTATTTTTACAGTTAATGAAAACGCCTAAAAAGTTGATAAATTATTAAGAAAAATATATAATCTAAAAAATATTATAACAAGAAAAGCTACCATCGAATGACTTCTTTTTTGGAGATAAACGTATACGGAAAGCAAGTAGGTATTGCAGGGGAAAATTGGAATGACCTCCTCCAGCAGTGTTCTTAAGTTTCGGATTTCAAAAAAAGTTTCCTCCACTTAATGAAAAAATAATATTCAAATTCAATAGTGTTAGATATTTACTGAAAAAGGAAGACAAAAAAAACCGTAATAAAGGGACATGTGGACAAAAGAACATATGACCATCTCCACTGAGCCTTCGCGCTCCCCACGTGACATAAAAGGGCAACTGCTGAAGTCAGAGTGGACATGCGTGTGACATGGGAGTGCTCGTTCGGAAGAAGAGCGCTCATTAGGTAGTCGCTCGTTCATGAACGCGTGGAAGTGGCTGTGCAGGGTCGCAAAGGACTCCGTTAGGAGAATCAGTAAGAAACTGCAAAGGCGGAGAAAGTCAAAGTGTTGATGAGTGGAGGAGTTTAGAAGGTCGCCGTATTTCTTATTGGCCCTTAAGCATTTCAGCTTCTCAAAACCTAATGCATCTTCTTTACTGATACTTTTTTCCTCTAATACAATAAAAACTTCTGGAGAGGCTCTAATAATATGATAACCATTAATATATAAATCAGCACTTAAAGAGATTAAATAACTTGTCTTCAGCGAGCAAATACAAGAGGCGAATAGCAATATTCACTTTTTTTAAAGAAAGCAAATACCAACAATGAACCCAGGCAAGTAAGAAATACTCATCATTAGAGAATCGGAGAGGAAAAAACCTGATATGGGTTGTTCAAAGACAATAAAAATAATGAGGCAGCATTTACATTTGCAGAACAGAAAAGGTGACTTTGACAGCATCTTTGTGGCGCCCACCACGACGCTGCAGGGTCACGTAAAGCGCCCAAAGTCTGAGCAGGCCAGATGGGCAGCCGCCAAGCGCAGAGAGTGCTGCCAAGTGACTTCTAACAACCCCCGCGGCGGCGCGATAACCTCGAAGGGTAGAATCCACAGGAATATGTAGCATGATGTGCGCCAGCCGGAGGTCCACAGAAGACGGATAGCGACCAATTGCACTTTCAAGTATGGCCAACGCCATGTCATGTGCTCCTTGAGGAGCGGGAGCTGCCCAATGGCGGTGCCACCCGCACATGTAGTCGTATTCTGAGAGTAATAAAAAAATATTCTTAAGCTAATGGGGTGCAAAGGACTTTCGTATCACAAGTATAAGCACAATACCGAAGTGAGTAAAAGCAATATTAGCTTGAGAGGAGGGACGCTTCCCCAACAATTCTAATATCATAAAAAACATTGAAACACGTGGTAAGTGGGATCGTGAGTTCAGTATACCCAGATGTTTAGCGTGAGACAAAGCAGAGAGTAAGGGTGCGGTAAAAAGGGTGGCGTGCTGTAAAGACAAACTTTTGTAGTGGTCAGCCAGCGAGCCTGAACACTTTATAAACAGTACTTCACCGGTGAACTCCAGTTAGTATACAAAAGAACATACGCGAGAGTAGGTTGGAATATTGGAGCCAAGAAAAACAACAAAATTCAAGAGAACTTCAATCTTGGATTGTTCATAAGTAATTTTAAATAAATAATCTGCAATGTCGTCAAAAAACACAACTCTATCATTAAATAATAATAAGAAAAAGTTTATAAACTTCCACTCTAAAGAAACCTGGAAAGATCGGCGGGATACTCGTCGTCCTCTGCTTCGTGCTGGTGACTTTTCCGCCACGGTAAAAACTCAACGTCTTCTCTGTTGAGCTCAACAAATAAGAATTTCTCCTTCTCCCCCTTTCCGGCGAGGTCGGCCTCAAGAACGTCAAAGAAGGTTGGGCCGCACGTGCTTTCCTCATTCTTCACACCTTTCAGCCAGCCATCCCACCCAACGCTACGGGGTTCTCCTATGCGCGGGGCCTGCGAATCCCAAAAAGGTTCGAAGAACTCCGGCGTCTGAACGAGGCTTTCTTTAAAAGAAAAAGAAAGCACAGAATAAGGGCAGTATGAACCAATGAAGTACCGGTTTCCGTCGGAGAAAATACGGAGAATTCGGTAAGCGCCTGCAACGTCGATATGCCCAACTCGGTATGACCAGACGAGCAATGGAGGCTTAACGCCTTGAAAAGTACGGAAAGGATTACACGTTCTCCTATAACCCCAAGTTGGCGACTAATTATTACTAACAGATACGCGGTAAAAGCGCACCTTCCAAACCACTAATCTCGGAGCTGGCGGAACTCATGTAAGAGGATGAGAAAAACTCCTTTTCAGTTTTATCTCTCTTATAAAAAAAATAAGAAGAGTAATAGCATTTATAATAAGGAAGAGATATATACCACGGAAATCAAGCAGGCTAAACATTTGCTATACAAACTTCTCATGGAGGGGAACGAAACTTTTGCTATCAAGTGAGCGCGATATTGCAAATAGGCCTGCCAAACCTGAAGAGAAGCGGTAATAAAACTCATAAAAGATACGGCCAAGCACGTGGTCTGTGGTAAACATCAATAAAAAGAATGTGTTTACCTGAAGGTTCCCAGAAAAGCAGTGGATGGCCGACTCCCACTGACTCTCGATAAAATCAGAGTCAAAATAATTCTCTCCAATTTCTAAATTACAATACGAAGAATGAAATTGTAGTTGTTTTTCCATTATAAATGAACTATAAAAAGCTAACAACAGTACAATACATTTATTTTCGAGAGCTGCGCAAGACGAAAAAGTCACGAGGTCTCTCAACATTCATAAAGATCACAAAAAAGTGTAGTATTTTTCAAAAAGATAATTTATAGCGGAGTTCAAGTATTTAGTATGCATCTCATCTTAAAAAAAAAACTCCGTAATAAAAAAATAACTTTCATATAAAACAAACTCGTAGTGATAAGTAAAAATTTAAATGCAAATATTGGCTATAAAACTTAAATGGTAAGTACTATTTTTATTATCCCTATTCTTATCGTTATGTTCCAAAAAATCTTTTTTTACTTATAAAATTATAATTAATAGCTCAATAAATAGTAGTCTCTACCAAAAAAATAAACTAATTGCAAAAACAAACTTCCGAAAAGATATACAATGGCATAATCACAAAAGACTCGTTTTCAAAAAAATTATAGGCCAGCAAGTTGGTTAATGCTTATAAACGTAAAATAATATACTAATTTTTTTTAAAAAAGATCTCCAACTCGATTAAAAGTTGTTGCTTCAAAAAAACGAATGCGTCAACATAAAAATTAATTAACGCTAACATTACAGGAAACAAAAATATAAAAACAGAAAATTTCGATAAACTAATATCTATTAAAACAGTACTTGTTTGAAATTGAAAGTGTATTTACAGCAAAGTTTACAAAAGTCAACAAAAAGGTTACTTAAATATAACAGAGTAAGCGAAACATTTTGGGGATTATAATTTAAAGCCTTTTCCAACAAAGAAATTTGTTTTTCCCGCTTTATACAAGAAAAAATAATTGACGTTAGAATTTATAAAAAAAGTTATTTAATTGGAAAGGAAATTCATCGAAGCCTAATAAAAATGTAAATAACTATAACATAGTTTAGTTTAGCGGTGAACGGAGTCACCAATAAATATAAATAAGTATATAAAGCACACAGGAATACAATATTCTTAATATCACGTGAAGTGAGCAGGGAGGTGTCCTTAGCTTTTAAAACTGTACCAGCTTCCCTATTTAGATTCTGGTTATGCTTATAAAAGATTTCCTGAGCTTCCACAAGTGATATCCATGAAGCAACGTTGAATGGATCTTCTTTGGTTTTCTTGTTATATTCTGTTAATAAATCTAATTGTTCTTTTTCCACAGGCACAGTCTCGTTAGAGGTCAACTTTGAGGACAATAAACTTAAAGACGAAGTTTCTTCTCCACCTCCGTAAATTCGGAGGTTTCCTTGATAATCAGATAAACTTTTTAACTTAGAAGAAACTTTAACCAACTTTTCGTAATAACGGGCTGTTGCAGTTCTTCTAGTAAATTATAATAGCTATAAAATAACAAAAGTTAAACAGTTTTCAGTGTAATAACTTTCTTAAAGGTGCCGAAAAGTCGTCATAAATTTCATATAAAACATGCTTTCCTTTAGTTTTACTAACACTTTGCAAAGCTATAGGTTCCATTCTTATATATACAGGAATTTTCGCTGTGTTTATAAAAACATGAAAATTATTAAAAGCAAAGAAACTGTAAAAATACTTCCGATATTTTCATATATTTCATTATTAATATCTCCTTGCTTATCAGTGATGACAGTAAAAATAACTCTTGACTTGTTTTTGTACGGATTTGAACCATTTTCCCCTGCACAAATTATATATTTTAACTAAAGTTATATTTGTTGTATATATAAACTGGTTATAAGTACAATAATCGCAAGTCAAAATTTTTGAATTGAACTTTTCTTTTGTGTCAAGTTTTAAACTTTCTATATTATTAGTCTCCTCAAAGTGGATTATCTTGTTTTCTTCTTTTTTTAATTTCCGCTTGTTTCTTTTCTTGCTGCTTGTCTTTAGTCTAATACTAAGAGGAGAAGACTTTCTTTCCTTAATAGATTTCTTCCTCTTTTTACGTTTTTGGGAGTCAAAAACATTTTTCTGAAAATTATAGAGTATACATATAATAAAAAAAGATAAAGAGTTAAGGTAGATATATGTAAAAACATAAAGGATAGTTACAGGACTACATACATGGCCCTTATAACTTTCGTTAATCAGCCAACTAGTTTCAGAGACCTCATCTCTAGTGGGAAAAGACTGATCAAAGCCAGCAAAGAGTGGCATAATATAGGAATGTTACAAAACTTAAATTCGGTTTTAGCCTAAATTTGTCGCAGAAATCGCTCGGATAGGTCCCACGCGTGGCTACCTTTTTTGGTTCTCTAATTTCTAATGACCTCCCCGCCCCTCCTTCAGTTCGTTGAAGACCTTAGGTGTAAAGTTTTTTCTTGTAGCACAAAATTAGCTTTCTTAATGGGAGAGCGCGTGAAGGGTTCGAGAAATAAACGCCAATATTTATCTAATAGGATTTCTTTAAACTTGGATGATTTTCTTTGGATGGTTATTTGAATGCTTCATTTTAAAATTGTTTGAACTCAATACATCAAAAATAATTTTTTGTTCCCTTAAAGCAAACGTCCACTTTTTGGTGTGGTAGATAATCTAATGAGTAGTTATGATATTGATGTAACTAACAACCGCCAGGTCATCTCCTGCTGTCTAGGACCCCTTGTTTCGTACGTTAAGGATTAGATCAAGACGGGCTGATTGGCAATACGGGCGCCTAACCCCACATTGTCAAAGACAAAGAGCTAGTAAGCAATGTAAACTTACGACAAAAACGTTATTAATACAATAAATGGTCACTTTAAACCTTACCAGAGTTGATAGTTAAAGTGCTAGTAGGCAAGCTTAATAAAAAAGGTTGTACTATTTTCTTCCAAGATAACCAAATTTTTTAAAACAAACATTGTAGCGCAGGGAACTAAAAGAGGAGTTTAAACACGAGGAAAATTATAAGACCCAGGGAGGTTATATGCTTTGAGGCCGTGTTTCCTTCTAAAAACAGAAACTTATTTCAAACTACATCTATTCTTTCGGACACAAAGGATACTACCTACCAGACTGCTTTTACTATGAACCCCGAAGTAAATACAAAACCTAACACCGAAACTAAAAACGTTATTATTGCCATCATCTGAACTAAACAAAAAAACATTAGCTTATTCAGAAGAATATGTTATATATACTAAGAAATCTTCCTTAATAATGCAAACAATATAAAGGAAGACAAAAAAACACCCTGGGTTTAGATCAACCTCAATCAAGTGCGATAGCAAAGGACGGTGTTGAAATTTCTAGTAAAATTAAAGTTCAGATCACTAAATAACAAATTTTAAAAAAGCAAATATATACTATATTGAACAAGAAAACCTTGTAAGAAACGGTCGGATAAAATTAAATTTTATGATGGTTAGAATAAAAAATTATTAGCAGACACAAAAAGCTTCAAATATGAGGAAGAAATCAAGCGCAAACAAGAAAACCTGTTAGGTCAATTTCGGTTAAGAAATCTATAAAAAAGACCATTAAATTTTTAAGAATAATCAGTGGGTCCGCCGCTAAATAACAAATATAATAAACTAGTTACCCAACATCACGCGAGGTATAAACCTTTAAAACTGGTCGGATAAAATTAAAATTTATTAAGATGACATTATGATTACAAATATATTATCATACTTAAAATAAATTGAAAATGAGAAGAAAAAGACTGCGTACAAGAAATGTTACTAGATAATGTAGATTTGCCTCACAATGAGATTAACGAACAGGATGATGCAAGCAAAAGACCCTCTGAAAGTGTTGCGAACAACGTGTCCAGTTTATTGAATGCTTTATCTACTTACAATACTTTAACATATTCTGAAACATTGCAGTCAGCAACAAAAAAAATTTTAATTTAGCAGCTAACAACCAACTCACATCAACATAAGAGCATAATGGTCGCGAGATAATTAATATGGATTGTATTTCTAACGAATAAATAACTAAATACGCGGAGTTAATATAAATTTGATAGCCAGAGGCTTTCAGCAAATTCCTGATGCTAATAATTAAGCACTTTTTTCTAGTGTAACCGAATCTTCTTTTAGACTACTATAAAATCTAAAATTAGTCATACAGCAGACTTGACGATGGCATTTTACAAACTATATGGCAAAAACCTGTATTTGTACATATACCACAAAGAATACATCAATTTAAATTAAATTACCCTATCCTCACCATCCTCAATAAAGACTTCTTACGGAACAATACTTAACAAAAATATGCATTTAAAATAATGCTGCTTTTCACGGTCTTAAATAGTCAGCAAGAGTTTTCTACCCAGATTCCTCTACAAGCCTTAAAAGTATCGCTATAGTCAAAGTTGATTGGATGCATATATTATAGGAATAACTTCAGACAATTGTAGGCAAACCCCAGAGTGTTGCGAATTAACATTGGGTGACAAGGATAACGCCATCCTGTTAAATCAGAGCTATAACAATTAACAACTTTTATTAAAACATATTGATAAGAAAAAATATTTTAAAACTACCTTTGTCAATTAACACAAAGCTAAAACCACAATTGGATGGGTGTGTCTAATGCAATCTTCTACAGTTTTAGACGTAAGATCATGTAACACTTCTATGATTAGTCATTTCCTACATCGCAACGGTGAAGGACACATAAATGCAGGTTTTAGTTGTTAATGTATCTTAATCTTACCACAACTTTTTCTAGTATTAAATTCTTAAGATTACCATAAATGTAAGGCATTAGCAGAATGCTACTGTGACTCTTCATAGACAGATCCCTATGTCTATGAGGTAACCACGGGGTATATCATTCTGTTAATTGCACCCTGTTCAACGGTCCTATAATCTAAACAAAACAAGGATTAGTAATTCTTAATGCGAAGCTGAATGTATGCCATAAGCAAGTCATTCCCTAACGCGTTTGCGATTAAAAATACAATGAACGGGACCAATTCCCTGCTAACGATATTGATATAAAGATCTCTACAAATGACGGAGCGGTCAAGAACATAGTAAAAGGCGATGCACCTTACAAATGAATAAGATATTGATATAGCATATACTTACGTAAGGGCGTTATGCAAAAGAAGAGCATGAGATAACGACATTGCAGAAATATTTGCTCACTATTATCGTTACATAAGCGTAACGTCATTATAAATATTTTTTTTAAAGAACGGGTTAACATAGAGTTGTAATAAATCCACGCGAGCAAGTGAAAAGTCGTACATTATTATAATTTTTATAGCTTTGTGAAGTTAAGAAAAGATATGAAGTTTAACCGTAAAAAATTAGAGAAGAAAGATGTAAGTTTGCTATGCACTCAGTTAAGTATTTAGTAAGGAGCTCACATGTCCAGGTTAAGATGAACAAACTCCGCTTTAAAGCTTCTTGTTGAAGTCAACTCTGATAAATCACGTGTTCATGTCACATGCATGTAACACGTGCTTCGTGCAAGTGCTTATACTGCATGATTTAATCACATGACATATCACGTGTTGCTTCCTATCCCTTATTTAGAATTACTGTCCCGAAGGTATTGACACCTTCCTCTATGAAGCAGTAAGTAGATTGCTCTTTGCCATTGTTCGACCCTTGTATTTCTTCGCCTTTTAGTATCTCCAAAATTTCCGTCATCAAATATGACGGTGTAAGTGGCCTTCCCCTCTACATCTTGAATACTCTGCACCGCGACTGAGAACCACTTTGGTTTCCACCTCTTACTAGGAAAACCATGTAGTACATCTACCCTGGATCCTATTCGTACCTCTTTCTACCTCTTTGTGGCTTTCATTTTCCCCAGCGAAATTCCTTTTTCTCCTTAAGTGGGATCAGAATTACTATTTTATCCTCACCACATAGGTTTCTCACGCTAACCAGGTTCGCTGACGCAGTAGGTACAAAGAGAGCCTTTATATTTTAGAACACCTAAGGCTGGGGTATGACCCTTTATGCCTATGACTTTCATTGGTGGGTCGGAAATCTTTCATAAGCCTAATTGATGTCGTTAGGTTTGTGATAACCGGCATCCGAATCGAAGTTAATTTTACTTGAGCCATTATGAACTTGAGGGCTCTCGCTTGAGAATCTTCTTTCATTATCTCAATTTCTGCACCGTCTTGCAATATGTCAGCTTTTCCCATTTGAAACATTTGAATTTTTCGTAAGCTATGGCTTAATAGTATTATCACTTGTCATACTATTGCTAGCTCCCTCTTCCTTCTTCTTAAGGAGGGCTCAGAAAAGATTGCGCTCAAGGCTACATCTTCATGCGCCATATATTGAGCTGTGATCTCCTACGAGGTCCTACGAAATTGCAAAGACCACGGCTCCCTCTGAGCTTAATTTAGATCCAGAACAATTACTAATTAAATAATACATTCTGCTTAAAAGAGACATTCCATTATTTGAAAGGGCTCCCAGAAATCTAGCAAACTTTATTTTTTCTCTAATTCTTGCACCCTCTTATATATATTTAGTCTTGAAGCTTAAGAGATTACCGCGGTCCACTAATGACCTGACGTCTTCAATAATTAATTTCTTTATGTTCGCAAACTCCTTTTCTAAAGCCAGTGGCATGCCCCCCTGAGAACATTAAACTTGTAGTACCCAGCATTCCATAAAAAATGGCTTCATAAGGCTACCCAACTTGTCGAAATCGTGCACATCCCAAACGATATTCATTGAACTCGGGTGAACGTTAAAAAATAGTAGTGTGCAATGACAATAAGAGTTTCCTTTTACCGCAACGCTTAGTATCAGTAATTGCTTCAATAGCATCTATACTGATCAGGTAGGATTCTAAGTAAATACTACAGATTGCCCTGCAGAACGCACAGTCCTCAACAGGCGCTTTAATTAACGTACCACAAAAGCTGGAGCGCCGCTTTGAAAGGACATAATCGTAAATTGAGTTCGTCTGTTAATTTGTTAAAATAAATGGGAGAATGTATAAACGAATAGAAATGTACACACGAACACTAAAAGATAAAAACAAAAGAGCAAAAAAATCACGAAAGAGTATTTTTTCAAAAGTTAGTGTTTACTTTAAAATTTAATAAGGTTTTTCAGCATTTTTTAAATTCTTTTACATCATAAACAAACAACAAAAATGTTCATATTTAAAATATGGGTTTGCATTAGATGTTCCAAAGCTATTTTCGCTCTTTTAGTTTAGCAGGGACTATTTAGAGGAAGACCGGAAAAAATTATGGTAAAAAACCCATGGCTAGTTTTTGCGACGAATCAACTAAAGAACTTCAGGATGATTGATATAAAATACTATTAGGTTAGTGTAAACCGATTTGTTTCCCTCTTTAATAAATTTTAACTAAAAGTGGGTTAATCGCATGTTATTACGAGTCTAAACCTTAGTAAATCATTATAGATTAATTACAAATAATTTTAAAGAAAATTACGTCCGCTTTAACAAATTATTGTAGTTTCTCAATGTTATAAATAGTTTTTTTGAGTATTTTATCTATAATAAAAAGTGATGTGCCTGAAGGAGCGAGCGTGGAAAATCTATATATTTGCGTATTACCAAATTTGGTTAGAAAAATTTGTAGGGGTATACGAACCAATAATTTCTAACAGAGCTCCTTCTTGTCTGTTAACTATACTTTTTTAAGCTGCTTGCCGGCTCATCCTGATTTTCTGAGGCTTATTATAATACGTTTATAAAATAAATGCCGCGGTCTAGTTTAGAGTACAATAAGGAAAATAATTATTTTTTTATAGAATTGGACAATGCAGGAGTCAACCCTGTAAACACGATTAAACGTAAAGACTAATATAATATTAGTTTTATAAACTGTGCAGTCAAGTTTGACTATAGTATATTATATAGCGGGCTGCGGAACTCTAACAATAGCAGCAGCCTATCGCTGTTGCATTGCAATAAATGCGCAGCCTCTTGGCAACATTAAGTTTAACCGCTTCTAAAATTAAGTGTATGGATACTTCAATGGAGCAGCGCTGATATCAATAAATTAAATATTACTTACTAGATACTTTCTTATTAACTCACATCATCTATATAAACTATAAAAACATAACTTTTTTGGAAAGTTTACAAAGGCAAGACTTTAATTTAAAAACAGCTTTAATAAATACACCCAATACTTATATTAATCCACAGTGCCTAAAAGATTACTATAGTAAGCCAGTCTAGATGTAACTTTAATAACAAGACACCTAAAATAATATTTTTTTCTAGTATTATATACAAAAAAAAATCAATAAATATTAAGTATTTAAAGGTACTAGGCTTTTAAAAACTTTAAAAAGACTAATTTACGTAATATCAAAGGAGTATCAAACATAAAGGCTATAAAAGATACTTTAACTTCCAAACTGACATACTCGCTATAAAAAAACTATTTAAGCAAGCAAGAACTAAAACACCACGAATATGGTTTAAATAAGTAAACACGGAGTGCTTCCAGAATGAGACCCAAACATAGGCATGGCCCTTGAACAAGCAGAGGAACAAACCTTAATAACCACCATGAATATACTACTAAAACCGATAATATATAAGACCCATACACAGTAAAGAAAGTGAAAACCTGCACAAAATACAAAAATAGCATAAAAACAAAATCAAAATAAACTAAACATTCGAATTGCCCATAAGATTGACCAAGTCACTTAGAATTACGCTTGCTAAGATGAAAAAAATGAAAATAAAGTTTCAAGAAAAACCCATCTTTATTTAATATAAAGACGAGGCTAAAATGCTATAAGGGCCTGTAGAAGTATAGCATATGGATAAGATCCAGAAAAGTTGTGTAGCATAACAAGTAGCACACCATTTTATAACCACAAAAAAATGGTATTAAAAGAAAAAACACTTATAAAGTTAACCTCATAAACACCTCGATATTAGATAAATTAAGGAAAAAGCTTAAATATAATTATAAATCTTAATTTAATCTATAAACAAGTGAGTTTAAAAAGGTTATATAAGTAGGGGGGAAGGGAATAGTTAAGCTGGTGCCTACAATACTTACAAAATCCTTAGTTCTTTAGTATAAGCTAAAAGGTTGAAAAACATTCGTTTTAGGTAAATTCTCAAAGCAGAGAATAAAAACTGTAGAGCACAAAAAAAACTCGCTAAAAATTAATGTTAACTAATAAGGATAGTTAAACGTTACAATTAAATAGTAAGAAAAGAATTAAAAGTAATTAAGCATGATAAGCAATTATTATATACATTTTAAAAAAAAATTAAGCTTACTTAGATTTTACAAGGCGATATATACCTGGCGTAAAAGTTTAGTATCACAAATCTTTCAGTTGTATTCAAAGTTTTTGTGTTCTTAGGGAAAAAAGATAAACACTCCAAAGAGGTCTAAATATTAATTTTCTTCTGGGTCAAAGAGAAACGAGTTTGAAAATGGCATTTTTAGGACTTAAAGCTAAAGTATTAACAAAAGTTTGGTGGAAGGGTTCAGCCTCACATTATACCGTAGGGTAAAAACAAGACATCAAAAAAGGTATACGAAGGAGAAACGACTGCCGACTCCCAGAGTCGAACTGGGGACCCCTTGGTTACAAGCCAAGTGCAATAACCACTATGCTAAGACGGCCGTCAGTGTACTCTCCCAAAATGATCCTTTATCAATTGTTTTATATAATATTATTAACTTACAAAGCCAATCCTATTCGTTTTCACCACCTAATTTCGCTTAGGGTCGAATGTCTATGTACTGTCGTAGAGATAATGAAAAAAAATTAAATCTTAATAAACTTTTAGTCATTTACTACATTCTACGGCCCAAAGAAATATATTATAATCTTTAGGGCCAAATCTTATTTTGGTTAAAAAAAATAAATTCCTTGCTTTTTCCCTTATGGTTAAAACAATTTTTAAGTATAAATCTGCAACAGGTTAAATTCAGGGCTTTATCCTACCCCCCGTGGTAGTTTATAGGTTAAGAATATTGACGTTCAAACTCAATGTCGTGGGGCTCGACTCCCACCTAAACGACTTTATTTCTCGTTCTTTATTGGTTGTGTTTTTAAAATTGCTTCCATCTACTCTGATAACTGCGGCCTATTTTCAGCCAAGAAAGCATACTTGTGCAAAAAAATCCTAAACTTACCCTATATAAAGATACTGCGTTATTTGCAAAAGGCTACAACAGTATTGTAAATATTCTTAATGTCATTACATCTTTATAGGTTGACCTACAGGTTTACTTTAATTCTATACCAATTTTTTTTTGTAAAAGATTGTTAGTTAAACTACTGTTAATACAAAATAGGGAGGGAGGGTACCCCTTAAAAAGTTAGTCATTCAACTCTACAGGACATGCGTCTATACATGCATATTAGATTTATTCATCTATGTACCTTTTAAAGCCTTGATGATTGTATGAATATAATATAGAAGCTTTTACTAATAAGATATTATGTTTTAATGACAGTAAACTTAGAGCTATAACTTATACTTACAAAACTAAGATAAATGAAGCTGATATTTAATAAGATTGCTCACTTAGTTTAACGCAATTATTTTCAGATGAAGAGCTTCTCTTCGTTAACCTAAGAATACAAATAATTACTCATTCTTAAAGTTATTTATTAACTGATGCCTAATAATAGAGAATAAAACCTTTGTTAGGGCTCCAAGCCTTGACAAACCCTTGGTAGTGGAGCCCACTCCTGAAGAATGGTGGAAATCTAACAGCATTTGATCGCTCCGCGTGTGGAGGAATATTTGCACATGCTTTTTAGGCTAAATCCATCCTATAGCGCACATTCCGATTTTTTGTTTACCAGTTCGCGAGATGAAGTACTCTAAGTTTGTTTCCTCTTCACGAAGGAAATGTCGGAAAGCTCATTTCTCAGCTTCTTCGGGTGTACTTCGAAAAATTCTTTCATCGCCTCTGTCAAAGGAATTGAGAGCCAAGTATAATGTTAGGTTGGTAGCTTGTATTTTTTTTAACTCTACGTTAGTCTTAAAATTTTTTAGATCTTTACCTGTTAGAAAGGGCGATGAGATTAAGGTAGCTCGCGGCACTTTTAAGGATAAAACCGGTATCGTCAAGTCTGTTTTTCGTCGAAAGGGTCTGGTTTATTTTACCACGGGTACACGTTATAAAATTAATGGCAATTCTGTTGATGTGGGCGTCCACCCTTCTAAAGTATATTTTATATAATATTTTGATTATTTTAACAATATTAAACGCTTTATTACAAATAAACAGGTTTATATTACCAAAATTTTTGAGAACAAGGACCGCCTAGATTTAATAGGACGCAAGGCTGCTCGTCGCGAAAGTTATTTTACAAAGAAAAATTCTAAGTCGAAATGCTCTTAAATCTACTTTTAAGTTTTTAGTTTATATCATGAAAAATTGCTATATAAACATCTCTCTTTGTGCTACTTTTGAAATTTTGTTGCTAATTTTGTATAAGTTGTTGCTTTAATTTTTTTTTTTTGCTGTTCCCATTCTTCCAGCTAATGTTATGGGTGTAAGCCGTTACTTTATGTAACTACTTACTATTTAGGTATTTGATATTACATAAACCTTTATATTTACTGTTCTGCTTAGTTTATTTGTGTTTTTAGATATTCGAACGTACCTTGATCGGTTCTAATTTTTTTTAAAAAAACTAGTGTATATTTATAAATATTTCTGACCGATTATGAGGGGGAGAAAACGTTAATATTGTTGAGTGTAAATACAGTTTTATTTAAAGCTGTTGCTTGTTAAAAAATACAAAACCTAAAACTTTTTATATTTCTGCGAATATAGTTTGGAGTGTTAGTTAAAGTTTTGTGTTAAACAGCCATCCCTCAAATTAAAGGTAAGCTTAGTAAGACAACGTGAAATTTTGAGCTGTATTCTTTCCGAGGGGTTGCTTAGAATACCTAGCTTATATATGAATCGCTTTTATACTACAAAATCTGTTTCCGCTTAATTTTATGAGGACTTTTACTAAGCTAACTCTTGTCCTCAATTTATTAGCAGTTTTTACTTTATACCTTGAGTAAAGTTTTTTTTAATATATAATTTCATATTTTAAAGGTACAAAAATTTATCAATTTTCACCAAATATAATTTAGTATTTAAAACCGGTCATTTTGGCTTTTTAAAACCTAAAACTTATAAAGATTTCTCAAAGCGTCATAAGCTGATTGAGTCATATTTTTTTGGGCAGTCACCATAAACCTTTCGGGCACTAGATTTCTTAAGGGGGCCCTTGAACGCAGTCAGATCCTAGTTCTTAACTACTAGTACGTCTCTGTTTATTTATTATTGTACAAGTTGAAAATAATAGAGAATCGCAATAATTTTTAAACATTTGTAACGAAGGTGACTGTACATAGAAAGGTGATCCATTTTGTAGCCTTGCAGTAGGTATAAACGTTCTTATGATATCGTGTTAATCTCTCTTTTTGTTTTTTGGGCTACAATTTTACTTTTAAAATCGCTTTCGTCTAGTTCAAAATTTGATATTAAATTCTTTTACTTTGGGGTCGGCCTTCCTTTATTAAAAAGATTTTTTGTTTAAAAAATTTCTTTATACTTGCTTGTGCTTTAGCTATCTTTACTGTACATAACGTGACTCACCCATAACAGCGCTGTCTAGTTATCAATCATACTATGTAGGTCACTCAATAGTATTTAGGTTAGCGTTGGTTGCTCCTCTAAATTTGAAGTTATAACAAATATTGAGGCTTTCTTCCCCCGGAGTTCTTTATATATTTTTTTGGATTCTACAGTGGCTTTACCTCCCTACAAGGATTGCCAGTTTGTCGATAGGAGATGATGATAAAAGAAATGACCTCCTCCCCGCCCGAGACCGATAAGCTGCTCACTTTGCTCTATGCAAAAATAAAATTTATTAAGTCCATAAAATTGTACTGAATCTCGCTTCCTCGGATCATATATAGTGTTCACTAGGAAAAATTAATGCGTTGATAAAACTATTTTGAGTTTCAACCATATCATTGGACTGGTTTACATTTAATTTAAACACAGCTTTTAAAACCCAATTAAATTCACTGAACAAGTAACTTGAAATCTTTTGCTAGCTTAATTCCCGATGTAAACCCATCTTGGCCCAAGTAGCGGTTTAACATGATCCAAGAAAGAGGTCCTTTATCTCGCAGGTAAAGACTCGATAGTATAAGTGTTATTGAAACGTATTTTTAGCGCTAAAAGAATAGCATGCGAATATTAAAAAATAAAATATCAAAGGTGTGAGACCCCCTTGAAGTCTAAATCTCTTGCGCACACGCATTGAATACCAGGGCTCAAAGGTAAAAATAAGCAATAAATTTGACTTTAGATTACTGGAGTTCTAGCATTTGGCCCACAATTATAAGAGGAACGTGACGCTAATTATAACTCTATAACATGAGAAAACTTGCGGAAACTGAACAAAGTAATCTAACTCTTAGCAAAACTAAGCATTCTGTGCTCGGTTAAACTGAGATTCTGCACAATTTATCGCAATAAGAAAACTGCTTGTAAAATACAGTGGTCTCCAAAGAAGTTATTAGATTAAACGGGTAGTCATCGTCAACCAGCTGATACGATTCTGGAGATCGTAAGGTTCTCTGTCGATAAATAGCACCCAAAAGTGAACTTATAAAAGTTAAAATATATAATGAGAAAACAAAAAGTAAACTAAATAACCCTAAACAATAACAATTAACAAAGCTAAGATCTTAGAGCAAGAGTGGAGCTAAGGCGCAACTACATCAAAGCTATGCACAGGCGGAAATAGAACCTAGAAACTGGATATAGAAGCAAAAGTAACTTATGAGAAAACATGCAATAGGCGCCTTATACAAAAAAAGTAACAGAATCAGATCCTAGCCCTAAGGTTGGAGGCCTTACTCAAATATCCTAAGCGCTAAAAGCCCAAACAATAAAATTTTCATGCGTTGGCGTATTATATTACAATAATATCCAATGAAAATGATAATAGGGTCGCATGCTAGATTCATAGCACCAGCTGTTTAGAGTGCACTACGTAGAATGGAGTTTCCAACAAAATTACATTTAATGAATACATAGCAGTCATAAAAACGAGAAAGTCAATGTTGCACCACATTATGGCCAGTATAATGCTTAAAATAAATTATGAGACTTCACTTACACAGATTTTTAAGTATTTCCAGTTGAACAAGGATTGATAGAGGGGGGCCCACATAGCGCGAGTTGCACCACCTTTCTACGCTAGAGAACGTCTACAATAGTACCCTAAAGCTAATCGCAACATTGAGACATAGCGCCCGCAAATTGAGAGGTAGAGACACTAATCTTTTAGAAGACAACCCGCACGTATGGTATGGACTTTATACTAAACTAAAAAGTTATCCCAACGGCGTCGTCTCGCGTGCCCACGTGAGATGGGAGGGGCCTTTGTAAATTTAGCAAAAAAGGCACCTTTTAGCTAAATTGTCTATTCAATTTAACGTATAGCCGGTGGTCACCCTTGGGCATAGCGTCTGAAAAGTGATCCCTTCGGGCTTACTTATTCATGTTCTCAGTGGTTGCTCGTCGACTACGTAGTTAATTCCTTATTGTCTGTTGCATTTGTCATTTTAAAGCTTGCCGTCAATAAGAAGCTATAAATTTTGTGACAAGAGGCGTAATAAAAATTTACAAAATTGTTTTTCGTAGTTAAGCGAACTAAAACTTTTATTAGTACTACTTAAGACATAATGAGCAAAAGAGGCTTAATAACTTCTAATTCGCTTTTGTCCAACGTTTATCATCTCGTCATAGAAGACGTCATAAATAACATTCAAGAAGAATTTGAGAGTGAGTCCGTGGATGAGCAAGTTTTATTAGATTTGCGCCTCGTAAGTTATTTTATTTTTACATTTTTTTTAAAATAGTTAGAGTAATTAACAATATACTTTTAATTTTTTGTTAAGACTTATACGAAGCTTCGTAATTTGGCTTTAGGAGTATTTACTATTTCTGTTTTCGTGCTTTACAAAATAATTATTCCGTAAACTGCCAGATGTGGCAATTAAAATTACATCAGAGCCACGTTATGGGGCACTCGTTGTTCGGCTCTACGGATGAGGGAAGCAGAAGTGGACCGTACAGTTATGAATCTTTATACGATTACCCTCATGACCAGCAATCTTTCTATAGCTACGCTAATCTTGATCAGAGAGATTCTTTGACGAGTGGAGATGCCTCTGCCCTGGTATTAAACTATATTAAACCCTGTTTTTACTTCGGAAACTAAAACGGCTTTTATTTTTTAGGGTACTGCCAACAACTTTTATAGCAAGGGTTCACTTCAAAACAGATATCCCACATACCTTCCTCAAACTGACGGCGCTGACGATTTTCCTTTAACTAGACATCTACCACAAGGAGAAAGTTTTATACCTTCAGAAGAGAAAAGGCCCGATTGCAGCCTTTTACAAGTAGATGGGCTGAGTGAGAACTTAATTTCTGACAAAGAGAGAGCCTCTCGAACTCAGAGTAACGCCGATCTCAGCGTAATATCACCTGCTTACAAGCAAAAATATATTTAATATATTTGCTTTAAAAGAAAGAGGAAGATGGGGAACTAAATTCCGATTTAGACTCCGAAAATGGTGAAGAACCTGACACTGAAGATGTAATTTTATGCCAGTACGACAAGGTTCATCACGATTTTGTATAATTATAATAACTTTAAATTTAGCTTGTGCAGGTGACGCGTAAGGGAATTAAGTGGAAGGTTACTCTAAAGGACGGGATAATGCATGTTGGCGGCCGCGATTACGCCTTCCACAAGGCGACAGGAGAGTTTGAGTGGTAGTAGTGTTTATCGTGGGCTGATTTTAAAAAGGACACACCAAGCACCGTAATGCTCGCACTTTGCCATACCGGATTCAGCAATGCAACTCTTTTTTTGGTTTCCACTAAAGAAATTTCTATATATATCTTGCCTTTTGCGCCAAGCGTAAAACCAAAAAGATTTAATAAAGAAAAGAATTGAATTTCAGATTATTAATATTGCTTTTTCAAAAAGATGTGGCTTTTTATTCCCTTAAAGGTAAATTTTTCTTGCAGCGCTTAGAGAAAACGAAATTTTACAAACGGGGCACAAGCTGAATTGCCACTGTATTTTAAAAATTTTGTTAAAGCAGGAGTCGCATAATGTATGACCACACGGCAGAACACGGCAGATGCTACCCACCTTCACACTTAGACAAACCGGACACTCGGAAACTTCCTCGCAGATGGCCAGTTGGTGCGAGAGCTTTATGATCTGTACAAAAAGAAACCTATGGTCAGGCCTTATTACGGGCGTGCGGAAAAGTAGCAAAACTGACATTGCTTTCCAAGATTGCGTTTTCAGCTTTCAATATTTTAAGTTGCGACTCGAGTTCACTGGCTTCGGCTTTTAAATCTCCCGTATGCTCCCCTACTTTCTCCTTATTGCCGTTCAGGTACGATGCATGCTTAAAAGCGCAGTACACACCTCGGGGACAGAAACCCCTCTCCATATAATTTCTAAGAATGATTTAAAAGAATATGTATTAATATAAGGACAGAAGCATAAATATTGAGTGTAAAGTTACTTGCACTGCTCCGTTTTATAGTTATTTTGATGAAACATCAGCTCGTATCTAGTGTGGGCGTACATACATTCATCTCCTTCAGGGCATTGTAAGGGATCTTAGTTTAAAAGAGAACTCAATTTAGTCTTAGTGAGTTTTATGATTGATAAAAAGGTCTTGACCGCTAGAACTCAAGACGGAGGGACACCACGAAGAAAGATAAAGAGCGGTCTCTCTTCTTCTGTCGTGAAAGTCGTGAAAGTACGGACAGAGCGAAGTGGTGTGGGGACCTTTTTTGTGACATCTCCTCACTTTAAAAGTATCCGCGGAAAAAGTATCTTCATTTTTGCCCTGAAAATTTTTAATTGTAGGTTGAAGGAATGAACTTATATAACAATGAACGTCGTAAAGAGATTCGTTCCGAGCCACAAATAAATCCCACGTTTCTGCACTTTTCTCTATTAACTCCTCTGGAAAAGCCTACACATACTGGTGATTTACTTAATAAAAAAAATTAGAAAACCAGTTGCCTTATAACGTGGCCTTTCAGAGGAGTGATATTTGTAACAAAAGGAGCCTAAAGCGGCGCATACATTGTTAATATAACGGTGAGAACAAGCCTTGAGTTTATAGGTAAAAGGATGGTGTAAAGCCTCATAGTTGTTATGCGCCAAAGTGCAAGAGTCGCCTTCGGGACAGCCACCGGAATAACCGCAGCTATAATATTTGCACAGCGCATCTTCTGCATTTTTGCTAGCCCGCCCCAAAGGAGTACTTCCTTAAAAGCGCTGGCTTTAATAAAGCAGTGTATAACTAAACCACATCATTTGTTACCTGCCTCGTTTACTCTTTCGGCTAAGATTGCTTCTTCCGCGTAAGAGCAAAGTTTGTTGTCTAGAGTTAAATTGTATAAAAAACTGCAAAGCCGATTGGTAAAAAGAAATTATTTTTTATAGTTGAACCCAGAATTAATATTTTTGCTAACCATAGTTTAGCTTTCCATATTCAGTTAAAAACAGAGGTCGACGCCGATCTAAAAAGTCGTGATGCATATAGCAGGTCACATAGTCGTGGCAACTCGCCTTATTGCAATGAACAACCTTATTTATTTTGAGAAGTATAATATACAGTGGTAAATAAAGTAAATAAGGGCGTGTACGAAAACAAATATTGTGAAAGCAACTAAAAAAACCTTGAACTCCAAAATATGGCTTTCTTGGCTTACTTGTTTAAAGTTGGAAGGAAAGGTAGTTTTGCTTAAGCAAAGTATACATAATGAAATTTAGTTTAATTTAGTTTAATTTATGAAGATCTAAATTAGTAGCTATTTTTCGGTGAAGGTTTATATATGATGCATACACTTTTGTAAGAAGTAGCATGGACTGAGTCGCAGCTGGCGTTGTGCCTTGGGCACCGTGGACCTCTTAATAAGTTAGTATTTGCATTTACAATATAGATCCAAAAGATACCCTAGTATCACCAAACTCTTCGTTGCCCTAAATATTATTATGAGAATTTCTTCGTTCTAAACTTTAACCAAAATCCAACAAAAAAAATTACAAAATATAATTTATGCTGCAAACAAGGAAATCGGATGGTAAAATATATTTTTACACTAAAATTTTAGCGTAAAAAAGTATTTTAACATATATTGTTGATAAAAGGAGCCACCACTTACAGCACGTATTTTAACAATACACTCATGCTATTGGTGATGCAATTTTTAATTTGTGGTGTTCAGATTAATTTGGATTGGCGAATATAATTTAGAACAGATTATTTACTCACGGTTTTTGCGGTGGCTCAGTGTCCTAAAACGCAGATTACTTAACAGGTACTCCTAATATTTGTATATACAAGGAAGGCCAAGTTTTATAATTCTGCTTTCAGCGATTAGTAAATTTATTTGATACTTTAAATTTTATTTACACCATCCTCTATATTTCCTCGGTCTAACCACTTTACTTTCTGCACTGTCAGTCGATTCGAACCAGGTCTCGTGATGGTCATAAAATTACTACTTGAACTCGATAAATTTCAGATAAATTCAACAATTCCATTTCCATTATGCAAGTTGATGGGGCGTTCGACAAAATAGAGCTCGTGATACACTATTGCTAAAGACTTAATAGGTATACAAATTTGGGACCTTTGGCCCTCTACACAAACTTTACAGAATTGACACTGCGCTGTCGTTAGACCGTCGACTGACAACTGTTGCCCCGCAGGGCTTTCTGCTCTTATTCTTGTTCTGCAATTCTTCATTACACTTCCACAAAAAGCCCCTTCGTTATCTCGGCAACACCTACAACTTTACTGGAAACACCTCTTAACTCGGTGTCGGCAGGGAGGAGTATCCAACAGCAGAGAAAAGCATAGCTGCACTTACTACATCCGCCTTTAATCCTTGATGATGTTGAAATCCGTCGGATGCTTAAGTCAAATACTAGGACTTCATCATTGATAAGCGAATAAACCTGGCGCCACATCGCAGTCAAGGATAAAACAGTAATCCATGCATTCTATCTGCTGCAGTAAAAAAACATTTAAAATGACTTAGTAGCTTTCGCAGATAGCACTGCACGAAATAAACACAATCTCTCGTGTTTTAACAAAAAAAAGGAAACCAAAAATTACTAAATTTTTAACAAAATTAAAATAACCCCATTAACTGAAAATTTTAGAATGCTTGGCTCAAATTTTTAAAAACTATCCTAAGAAATACTATATAAATCTATATATAGAGTACGTAGCGTTGTTTAGAAGTGCGTAGTATAGTTTGCTTTCAAAATTTAATAAAGTTTAACTCGGTTTTGCGTTCAGATTTTATCATAAGTCGACCAGGGTATGGATAGATTTAAATTTTTTTTTTGAAGTGCAACTGCTCTTTCTTTTGAACATGTTAGTAGGCTTTCAAACTAGGTGGGCTCAAGAATCTTGCCTACGAACCCTTTATAGACAAGAGATTCGGACAGCCCTGTGTTGCGCTTTAAGCTTACACTTATTATTTGACTTGCGGAACTGATACGAACCACGCAAAATAATTAGTTGTTAGCGATATAAAGCAGTTTATGCTCAATTTTTTTTATTGAGCACCTGCACGAATCATTCACAATAATATTGTAAAAGGAGCATAGTAAGAGAGCAAACTAGTACCGTCTTCCCGTAACTTTTTTTCATGCTCACTTTGAGCGTTGTTAGAGACAGCATTTTAGACTAGCAATTTAGAGAATTGACACGCAACATTTCTTTAACTGCTGTAGATTCATACAGACTTTGTCAGTTACGTGTTTAACTTTGCCTATATAATTTCTAAAACATTTAAAAAGCAGCTATTTATATTTAAATTATTCTTAGCTATATAAACTCCAGTTTTTTAGGTTTTTTTTAAAAAAATTTAAGTTTTTTATAACTTCAATGAAAAGGTATTATCTAATTCGAGCGGTTTTTTAAATATATTAGCAAGTTTTATCCAGAGGGTATATATTCAATATTGTATTTTTTACTTAGAGTTTGCCCTTAAGGCAATGATAAGCTATATTAACTTACCTCATCCTTACGTTAAAATCTAAATTTAAATCTCATGGTTACGTAAGTTTCGAAAAGTATTACCTTAAGAAATTGTATTTAAGACGGTTTTGATTGGAGCAATGTATTTTTTCTCAGGAAAAATTTTCCATTTTCGTATTTGTTAATATCTGAGGATCATTAGTATACTGAGCTCCTTATAATTTTGTAAACATTGTTAGCAAAGGAGGAGTCATATTTGAGCTCAATTAATGTTATTATCAGCGTAATTAGAGTACTTTAAGAAAAGAGAAAGGTTTTAAGGCGGTACGAACAGGTGAAAGTGCAAAACGCCAAATAGATGTTCAGTTTCACAGGGACAAAGCATTGGCTTGTGCACCAGCAAAAATTTGGTAATAAACCAATTAAATTTTGTGAGTTTTCTATGATATTTCCAGTAAGAGATTTTTAGACATTTAATTTAGTATTAATAGATATTAGTAGTCCATATTTGTAAATCAGATCAATACAATATGCTAGAGTAGGTTAATGTTTCAGTTTTGATTTATTAAATACCCTTTTTATCATTTTGATATCTTTTAAATTATGTGATTTGTTAAAATACATGAGCTCCGATGCTAGCGGAAAGCTATCTTACAAGAAAATGTAAGCTTCTTTTATCCCATTATTTTTACCCTCTTCAGTTTACTTGCAAGGACAACGCATGGTCATAATAGTTGTCTCTTTCAGTATTTTGTAGTTTACCAAGTTTATTATTAATAAATTTTCTTCCTAACGTCAATTTTAACTTCCTCTATTACAGTAGCGGAATAACTTTTTGTTTACGCTTTTTATGCAATTATTTTTTCCACAACCATTTAATAATTAATTTTTGGAGCTCTTGTATAGAATATGCAAAAATATAGCGCCCGTTTTATGTTTGTATTGCTAGATCGAAAGTGTGCCCACAACAAATATCAACGTTTGCTAACTTTAGTAAAATTTGCCTGCTAATTAGTTCACTTTTTTTATAAAATTTTGCCTTTTATATATAATTTTTGATAATTCTCCCCAATTCTAATTTTTTAATAAGAAATTTTTAATAAAATGATTCCTGAGTAGCGGCCGCGTCTATAGTGCCTTTGGAAATAACATATTGCTCCATAGTATTATAGCTTGTAATCATGATATTTTTGTAGCTAATTTTTATTTCTAATAATGTTCAAAACATTTTCATCATCTTGGGCAACATTTTATTCTTTATAATAAGTGCTTTATTATCTTCAAAATGTATGTGAGCTTCTTATTACATATTTATCTGAGGAAACGGGGTCATTTTCTAATTTCATATTTAACCAGCTAAAAAATCTGAAATAATGTCACACTTACGAAATTATACCTTGTTATTGTGTTGCACAGCTATCGACAATTTTTTAACTCTATTAACTCTATTATTTTCTGTTAAGGCAGATTTTGCCAAGCTGCACAATCTTACAAAATTGGAAGATTTTTTTTATGTGGACGGAAAGATCTCATATTTTGTACATGAGACCGTTTGCGAAATAAGGGTCTATCTTTAAGTGAGCGGATATTGCTTAAGGTATTAAGAATTAGGACCTTAAACTTTTTTTTAAGTTTTTCTATTTTCGGCTTGTAGTAGGGCGTTGAGTGCATATATTCAGTGTAATCTTTCAGGGTAGCTACTATGTTCTAACGTTATAACATCATATATGAAATAGTTTCTAATATGTGTAAGTGCTATTTTTATTTTTATACAGATGCAAAATAAAAATTTTTTAACAATAATTGATCTTCTACCTGACTAAAAAATTCATCCACATGGTTAGCAACTATTGCGTAGACTGATTATCTCTATTTCTAGCATTTTAAAGTGTTTATACTATGCTCATAAAAGTGAATGTGTTTTTCTTTTATAAACGGGCCTCTAACATGTTTTATTGCAAGCTCAGGAGTCGGTACTCTTTCTATCCAATTCTACCTATTAGCTCAGTTGCAGACTATTTTATTACTTCTATTAAGTTTATCAGTCAAAGCATTGCTCACTACAGCAAAAATATAATAAAACTTTTTACAAGGAGTTCAATAATAAGTTACTCACTTAAAGAGAAAGGTCAGGTACTTTTAAAGCCGAAAGGCAGAGGGCAGAGGAAAAATCTGCTCTTAGTTTTATAACGACTAATTTTAAACGCCAAAAATTAAATTTTTTTTAGTGACATACACTCGAATAGCTTTTAATAGATTTAAGATTAGTGTAATAGACAACATACAAATTTTTTGTAAACTTACTAGTTTACACCTATATATATGTACTAAGTTTAAGAGTAATTTTCATTGACAACTTATTTTCATTTTGAGGAAGGCTGCCATATATCTTGATAAAACTGATCATAAGGCACTACTAATAGGCCATGAGTACACCAGCCACCAGCAAATGAAATTTTATCTTGGTAATAAGCGCGCGAGCTACAAAGAAAGGATTGATCAGGCGTTAGCCCTCTTTTAGCAACACCGTAAAAACATAAAATTAGTATCTGTTAAGGAGTATTTTACTTTAAAAGAAACATCTTACAGGTTGCTGAAGTCAAAATATTTACTAAAGGCATTGGGACCAATATAAGTTATTTTATTCCCTTCTAACTCTCTATGAATTTATTTATTTGAATATAAAAATAACCTAGCAGAAAGTTATTTATGAAATATCATTGCAGCTTACAGAAACTTACAGTAAATTTAATACTGTTAAGTCAGAAAACGAAGCTGACTCAATCTCGGTGATAACATTGTTTTTTAGGTATCTATGCTCGAATGAAAAGATCAGGAGTCGCATCCGAGTAAAAGTATTTATTTCATCACTTAACTCGCGTAAACAAGGAAAATTAACTTGATAAAT